GTCCTACATTGGGTTCCTTGCTCAGCGGGGAGCCTGCTTCTTCTGCCTACTGCTCCCCCCTGCTTGTGCTCTCTCTCGTTCTCTGACAAATAAATAAAATCTTTAAGAAAATAAATAAATAGGGCGCCTGGGTGGCTCAGCTGGTTAAGCCACTGCCTTCGGCTCAGGTCATGATCCTGGAGTCCCGGGATCGAGTCCCGCATCCGGCTCCCTGCTCAGCGGGGAGTCTGCTTCTCCCTCTGACCCTATCCCCTCTCATGTGCTCGCTCTCTCTCTCAAATAAATAAATAAAATCTTTAAAAAAAAAAAATAAATAAATAAAATGCAAAGCTGACTGTAGCACTACCCAACTTAAAGCCCTCTTAGCCTGCCATTCTGTAAATTCCCTATTCCACGTTATAATCAAGAACCCACTACCTCTCCACTTTGTTTCTTAGTACTTCTTCCTTTGCGCCATGAGGTCCCAGTTCCAACTCTGTCCTGCAGGCATTCTCCTTCCTGGCCTGCCCCAACCCCCAGGCTTGTGCCCTTTTCTCTACTTCGAATGTAGTAAGATGAAGGCTTTGTCTCAGTGTGGTTCTGCATTATATGATTTGGGTGACCTTGGGCAAGCTCCCTCGCCTCTCTGTGCTTGAGTTTCCTTTGAAAATGTGGATAAGAGGATTTGGGGGACGATTCAAGGAGATAGTGCCTACCAAATGCTTCAGACAGTGGTGGGGACTCATTTTTCTGTTTCATCTTTAGTCCTGGAATGACACTGGGCTTAGCTGTACCTGCCAAATTGTCAGATGAATCCTTAAAAGATGGGTACCATGTCTAGCAGGTGATGGGCATGCTGTGCAGCTTCTTCCACCCATCCCAAACCTCTGTTTTTTTCATGAGTTAACTGCATTTTAGGGTTTCTGGCCCCCTTCTTTTGAAGAATATTTCTTTCACTTTTTGGATGCCATGATTTCGTAGAATGAGGATAACAGAAAGATGCCTGAAGATATCTGTCAAGAGATACGTAAGAGTTGCTGGGGTCCCATCAGGCAAGGATAGGAACAAGCAAGAGGCTTAACCACAGAAAAAAGTTGGAGAAGGATTTCAGAAGGATTGTAGTACAGTTAGCATGTCAGGTTTAGGGAGGAATCTGAAACAATAGGGTGCAAGTCTAAATTATTCATTAATGTCTAAGACAGTGGTATGTAGTAAATAAAACCTCCATTAACAGGAATCCATCTAAACAAAAGCCGAAAAACTTTTATTTTCCTTTTGTCTATATTCAGTTTGTACGAAAAGGACACAAATGGCAATAAAACAAACAGATAATTTTTTTTTTATTAAAAGGCAAAAGGGGATATGCTGGAATGAGTTTGGATTCAACTAAATTCCTTCCTCTTTGTAGTCATTATCATTATTGTGTAAGAACTAGTGTTCAGAATCAAAATCGTAGGGCATTTTATTCACAAACTACAGATTCTGATTTGGAATCAAAACTTTGAATTAGAACACTGGAGGAGGGAGGGAGAAAAGAACACTTCTAGCACTTCACATACATTATACTCTTGGAAGCTTTGGCCAGAGTGAATGAACAGACTGGAGAGACTAGCTACTGATGAAAGATGAAGCAGAAAGGCTTCTCGGGTTGATCCCTTGTTCCCCAGGACTCCTCCTTCTGGAGCATGCCTGTTCACCACAGTTGTGAAGTGCGGAATCCCAAGTTAGTTCTGCGTGCCTTGTGGGCTTTCAGTCCCTCTGGGCCCTATTGTCAGGAGCGTGGCATTTTGAAACAAGACCCCAGGTCTTACATCAAAATGAAATGGCCCTTGGCCAGGTTTACATTACTCAGTTAAATTGTGATTATGGGATTTTAAGCCAGACACAGGGACTTTCCGGCTCTGTGCAAAGAGTCATTTCCATCTGGATTTTCTGAGGTGCCAGATCTTACGTTCCTATTTAGGCAACTGAGGAACTTTGGTCTGATACACTTTTGTGCCTTCTTTGCCAAAGTACATTCGACAGGTGTTTATTGAACTTCTACTATGTGTCTGTGGGGTGCAGATATAGCAGTGAACAAAGCAGACAAAAATCTTTTTTATGTCCTGGGGCACCTGGCCAGCTTAGTCAGAAGAACATGTGGCTCTTGATCTTGGGGTTGTGAGTTCAAGCCCCACGTTGGGTGTAGAGATTACTTAAAAATAAATTCTTAAAAAAGTCTGTTATGTCCTAATGAAGAGATAGACAATAAACAAGTGAAATGTTTAGAATGCCAGAAGGTGGGGGGTGCTAGGAGGAAAATGAGGGAATGAGGCAGCCAGTATTGGGTATCTGTATTTTAAATAAGGTTGTCAGAGTGGGTCTTCTCGAGAAGAGGATGTCAGAAGGCCTCGAGGAGGGAAGAGCGTGGTTGTGTGAAATCGTCCTTACTTAAAAGGCTCTCCTTTCTCCTAGAGCTCTGCCAACTGAAACTGTTGGCACTGAGTTTGCTCTATACTCTTTTTTTTTTTTTAAAGATTTTATTTATTTATTTGACAGAGACAGAGCACAAACAGGGGGAGGAGCAGAGGGAGAGAGAGAAGCAGAGTCCCCACGGAGCAGGGAGCGGAACGTGGGGCTCGCTCCCAGGACCCTGAGATCATGACCTGAGCCAAAGGCAGACACTTAACTGACTGAGCCACCCAGGTGCTCTGCTCTATACTCTTTTTAAATATAAAAACTATTTTTAATTGAAGTATAGTTGATGTGCAATGTTATATTAGTTTCAGGTGTATAATATATGGAATTGCCAATTCTATCTGTTACTTAGTGCTCACCACGATAAGTGTAGTCACCATCTGTCACCAAACAGCATTTAATACTGTATTATTGACTATATTCCTTCCCTATGTTGTACTTTGGTCTCTGTGACTTACTTATTCTATAACTTGAAGATTGTACCTCTTAATCTCCTTTATCTATTTCTCAGTACTCCCTCCCACTTTCCCTCTGGCAGCTACCAGTTTGTTCTCTGTATTTAAGAGTCTAAAACTTTTTGTTTATTCATTTGTTTTGTTTTTTATATTCTACATATAAGTGAAATCATTTCTTTGTCTGACTTATCTCACTTAGCATAATACCCTCTAGGTCCATCCGTCTTATAGCAAATGGCAAGCTCGCATTCTTTTGTGGCTAATAGTCGTGTGTGTGTGTGTGTGTGTGTGTGTGTGTGTGTGTGTGTGTGTGTACACACCACATTATCCAGTCATGTATGGGTGGACACTTGGGTTGCTTCCATATCTCAGTATTGTAAATAATACAATGTATACTCTTTTTATTAAGGTTACATAAAAACAATACCTTTAATTGCAGTGTTGGCATTAGGCAAAACGCAAAGAGAAGCAACTGCTGATTGTGGGGTGTGAGAGCTCCCCTCTCCCAGGGGTCAGTTCATGTTGTAGTCATCTAGAGCCTCACCATGGAATCTGTGGTGGTGGCACTAGCTGGGTTCCTAATAGGACCAAACTCAAAAGGCATGCAGTGGCCTGTACCCTGCCCCCAAACACCCCAATCTTCCTTTTTTTAAGATTTTATTTATTTTAAGGAAAGAGAGAGTAGGGGGAGAAACAGAGGGAGAGAGGGAGAAGTAGACTCCCTGCTGAGTGCAGAGCCTGATGCGGGCCTCTATCTCATGACCCTGAGATCGTGACCTGAGCCAAAATCAAGAGTCAGATGCTTAACTGACTGAGCCACCCAGGTGTCCCAACCCCAGTCTTACCTGTTTCTTATTACTACCCCAGAGATGTTCTGTGTGTATATAAACTTAAGAGCCACTGAGCAAATGTTAACATTTGTGTCTCAGGCCGTTTTCACTAACAGTGTATCTTGGTGATGTCTGTACCTGGAGAGTTGCCTCATTCTTCTGAATGACTGTGTAAGATGCATAAAATAAATGCTTCTTAATTGATTAACTTGTTTCCCACTGGTGGTTGTTTGCATACTTTGAGTCCTTTGCTGGTATAAGTAATGCTGTAATGAACATCCTCGAAGGTACATGTTTTGTGTACACATATGGGAGTATATGTTAAGTTAAAATCTTAGGGGTAGAATTGCTGGATCAAAGAGAATGTACTTTCACATTTTAACCAAAATGATCACATCATTCTCCATTGCAGTTGTACCACTTTGCACACCCACTGACAGTGTAAATGCCTCTTTTCCCACAGCTTCACCCACACAGTGTGTTATCGAACTCTGATCCTTGCCAATCTAATAGATGAAAACTGGTATATCTTTGTAGTATAAATTTGCATTCCTCTTTTTGTGAATGCACTTACTTGCCTGGGGTCTGTGTTGTTCCTGATTGGATTTTCTTAATATTTTCCTTTCTGATAAGACTCTATTCCCCTGTTTTTTAGATGTGTGAACAATTGTGTTATTATCTATTTCCATATCATGCTGGTATTCTGGTGCTTTATTCCCCAAAGCAATAAGATTAAGAAGGAACATATCACATGTGTAATGGGTGCCAGGAACAGTATACTATTTCAAAACTTTAAATAGCCTTTGGAAATAGTATACATAATCAAGTGCTTTACCTGCATTGTTTGATCTTCAAGCAAAGACACAGTTAGATGCCAGAGAATGACAATGGATAGCATGAATGTAGGAAAAATGTTATCTGAGCTGAACACCCAGAGCAAGAGGCAGGGAGGGAGGTCAGAATGGACCTTCAGATTTTCATAGTTAGTCCTTGGTCATTCTTGTCTTCACATGATCAGACCTGGGTAAAGCAAAAGTCATTTTGTCTGGGTACTTGGGTATGATCAGTGCCTCCCTACAGCCACCCTACTCGTGTGTCCCTGGAACCCCCTGGGTTCTTGCCTTTAGTCAAGGGTCCAGGAGCAAAAGGAAGGAAACTCCCAGCACATGAGAGCAGCGCGTGCTCTGGATGGCAGCTCTGGGAGAGAAGCGTGGTGAAGTTGGCCCCCTGCCCCTTGCCGAAGTGCCCACGGACCTGAGAGCTGCTTGTGTTTTTATAGCCGCAGTTGGGTTTCTGGCCGTGTCCAGTGTCATCACCATGTCTGCCCCCTTCTTCCTGGGAAAGATCATCGATGTCATTTACACAAACCCCACCGTGGACTGCCTCTCCAAGCTGACCCGCCTCTGCCTGGTGCTCAGTGGCGTGTTCCTGTGTGGCGCTGCCGCCAACGCTGTTCGCGTCTACCTCATGCAGACTTCAGGTAAAACGGCCCTCGCCTTGCACGAGCGAGGTATTCCAGAGGCCTCCAGTGGCGTCACGTAGGGCTGTCCGGGCTCGAGGTTCGTGTGCTCCAGGCCGTCTGTTCCTCTTTTCTCCTGCCATCACGTTCAGCGGGGACAGAGCCCTATGTATGGCCAGACGTTGGAGCTACGAATTGTTTTAGGTCAGGCACTCTCTTCTCAACTCTCCCTGTACACGAAGTGAAGTGAGGGACGGAGCCTGTCTGATGGGAGGTTTGCAGACACGGCCCGTGGTCAGGAGGCTGGAGTTCTGAGCCTCCTCCAGGGAACTGTGGAAACCTTATCTGCTCCATGTTTGTGTTTCCCCTTCAGTAGGCACTGGGGCAATGATTTTTTTACAGCATTTCCGTGATGAGTCCTGGTTGTTAACAGGTGGGGGACTACCACAGTAATCCCAGAGCCCGGGATGCCAGACTCTAAGTCGCTTCTCAGTATTTAGCTAATAAAATAGATAATTAACCAGTGCTTGCCATTTGAAAGTTCAATACAGAAAAGGATTGCCAAGGAGGAACAAAATTAGCTTTTGAGAAGTTAATGTAGTAAAGCTTATTTGTAAATAATACTTTTTAAACATCTCTCAGAGATCCTGTATTTTATCCCTGTACCCCGTCCTCCACATCCGCAGTTTGTATATGGTTGCTAAGAGAAAATCAGTGCTTGTTACCGGTGCACGTCTGCCAATATGCCAGGGCTCAGGTGAGTCTGTTCCCACCAGGTGGATACAGGGCACCAGACATGCCTCAGAGGCTGTGGTGCTCAGAAGAGGTTGATGACCTCGGGCCAAGCTGCAACCTATTAGGTGGCTGCACCCAAGCTGATGCCATTCCTGTTTGCTTTTGCAGGTCAGCGCATTGTGAATAGGTTGAGAACTTCGTTATTCTCCTCTGTTCTGAGGCAAGAAGTTGCTTTCTTTGACAAGACTCGCACAGGAGAATTGATTAACCGCCTCTCCTCAGACACCGCACTCCTAGGGCGCTCGGTGACCGAAAACCTCTCGGATGGGCTCCGGGCTGGGGCCCAGGCTTCTGTTGGCATTGGCATGATGGTATGTTAGCCTGGCTTGTGTTGGTACCTTCTAGTCAGGGCTTTGGCCTGTTCCAGGCCTCTCAGTCATGAGATTAGCTCAAGTTGAGCTGTTCTCATCATCCTGTAAGCCACTTAGCCAAGAGTGCTGTCACAGAGGCTGCGTGATGTGGAGATGGCCTCTTCCTGTGTGGCCCCCTGCCACCTTGGTTTCTCCAGAATGACTTCTTGGAAGAGTGGACCGTTACATTTAGCAAAGATTACATTATTGCTTGGGTTTTCTAAGGCTGTGTGAAAGAATGTTGCAGAAAAGAGCAACAGGTGGTGGGAGCCCTTTGGGTGCCAAGCAGTTGGGTTAAAGGAAAGATTGTAAGTTACATTCTCTCCCTGCCCCCCAAAAGGCAGTGTTAAACTTGACAAGACCAAGGAATCATTGCCTTTCGGAGGAGGGTAAATTCCATCCTTCTGTACAAGAAGTAGATCTATATTCCACTGAAGTGAGCTCTCTCTACCCCCACAGCCTCTTTCCTGCCTTAACTGGGTGGCTTGAGCACTGTCCTGTCTGTTTACCTCACTCATCAGACCTGTGCTGCTGGCCAGGAGAAATGTCATGCAAGCCACATAGGTAATTTTAAATTTTCTAACAGCCACATTTTAAAAAGCAAAAAGAAAGATGAGATTAACTTTAATAATATATTTTATTTAACCCAATATAAACGAAGTATCAGTTCAACATGTAATTTATATAAAAAATTATTAATCTGAAATTTAATATTATTTTTTCATATTAAGATTTCAAAATCCAATGTCTTTTATACTTATGGAACATCTCAATTCGGATGCTAAATTTTCATTGGAAATATTTCATCCTCGTTTAGATTTATAAAATTTGCCATTGAAAAAGTAGACTGACGTACCAGGTTTTCCAGACATACCTAAAACCTTACCAATAACTGAATAGAAATAGAATATTCATTTTTAAGTTTAAATTTTAATTAAAACTAAACAAATTTAAAAATTCAGTTTCTCAGTCACACTAGCTACATCTGAGGTGCTCAGTAGCCATGTGATGCTGTCATTTTAAGCAGTGCAGTTCCAGATCCCTAAACGAGGACTGTAATTATTCCCATCCCCCAAGTGGAATAGCTTGGGCTTATGTCCTCTTTGCTTCCACGTAGCACTCAATCCAGAGCAGACGGACGTGTTGCAGACTGAGCTGGTAACATCAGATTATGGAATGGAATGGGACTGATGCATTTCCTGCCCCACCGCAGAGGGCACCCCATGCAGATGGTTTGCTTGAGGTCCCGTGTAGTCAGGCCCCAGAACCATCAGACCTGCCCTGATTGCATCACTCCCCCTGCGTGTGTCCTGCTGGCAGCCATCATCCCGGGGCCCTGCTGAACTGCATGACTTGTCTGCTCGGGGGGGTCATTCCATAAATTGAAGGTGCCAAGCTCATTCCTGCTTCAGGGCCTTTGTCACTTGCTCTTCCAAGACCCTATTACACCTGAAATTGTTCTCTCTGTCCCTCTTTTACCCATTTGCTATCTAGCTCTCCCCTTGGATAAAACTCCACATGGGTCAGTTTATCTTCCAGGTGCCTGGAATAGCGTGTGCATGTGTAGGCATTCAGTAACGAGCTCTTGAATGAGAAAATGAATGAATGATTGGTTGATCCATCTATTACCGTACATTTCCGTGTGCAACTTTTCCTCAGCTTTTTAAGAAAGCCTTATGCTGATTATACTACTTTCTGTGCAAATGAGATTTGGCAGATTTTAACAATTTGTTGAAAAGATGCTAGTGCCGTTTAAAATCCAGTCACCAAATTGCAGGGTTGACAGGAAAACTCACTGTGTTATTTCTATAGAAGTTGATTACTTCCTCTTTGAGCAACTCCAGTTAGAAACTCCTTATGTTGAGTTCGCATCTGTCCTGCTGAGCCGTCATTCCTCTGAGGTATGGAAACAGCTCTAACTCTTCTCCCACTTGTTAGTTCCACCCCCTGCGGAGAGTCCTCTTTCATCTTCATTTGATACGGGTTTTTGTGGTGTCTTTGCCTTCTCGGCCATTTCAATGAGACACGTTGCTCTGGTTCTTCAGTGCCTTCGAGGGGACCCAGACTGGAACACAGAATTCCTGGTGTGGTCTGGTCGGCATGGAGCCGCATGGGCCTCCTTCCGTTACTCCTGTCCTGCCTTCCTCTCCTCTGTGGTTGACCAGTGTCGCCTACTGTATACAGCGTTGTATCAGCAAGGGTACAGCGCTGGAGGGGAGAATACTTCCATCCTTCCTTCAGCAGCTTTGCCATGTTACCCCTGTGTGGCATGCTGATTTTTCGTGGAGTTTTATGAAGATTGAAGATGTCCGAAAAGTTCCACCAAAACAGGGTGTACAACTTTGAGACAGCACCTTCAAACCTGCCTGTTAATTTAAACACACCCACACCCACACCCACACCCACACCCACACCCCCCTATAGTAGGTAATGAGAATGTCTTGCTACTCTGTGTAACAAGCACCTTTTGGCTTTTGTTTTTGACAGTTTTTTGTCTCACCAAATCTGGCCACTTTTGTTTTGAGTGTGGTGCCTCCAATATCAATCCTTGCTGTGGTTTATGGACGTTATCTACGGAAACTAACCAAAGTTACACAGGATTCCCTGGCACAAGCCACTCAGGTAAAGGCTGCTCCCCTGTATGGTCTCCACTAGAATGAACTCAGAGTCCAGGTTCTAGTGGGCACCCCCTAAGAGATGTACTTAGGCTTTCCAAAAATGTGCTTACTTTTCCTTAAGTTAGCCCTCAAGATCCTAGAAACCTAAAATACTCTGCCTTCTAGACTACATTACTACCCACACCTTGGCGTAGATCCCACTTGACTGAACACTGTATGAACTCCTTAGTGCTTTACCATCACTATTTCTTATAGGATGGAAAATCTAATTATATTTTGAGGATAGTTTCTGCATGACACTCTGTCCTTTATTAATTAATAAGTGAAGCTTTGTAATGCTACCCAATACTGTATTTTTTAAAAAAAATTAAAAATAACTTACATTTTCATGTTACAAAAACCAAGTGTGTTTGTAACTGAAAGCTGGAAAATATAAAGAGGGAAAATAACACATACAACCCTGTCTCTCAGAATGAATGTTATTAACATTTTAAAATCTATCCTTTTTATCTTTTTTCTCTGCATAAAAATATATTTCAGTGTCTGTTTATTAGCCCTCCTGTTTGTCTTTCTATCTACTCATATATGGTGTTTGTATGTATAGATAAATATTTGTTTCCAAAAATAGGATTGTTCATATACTCTGCTTTGTAACCTATTTTTGACTTAGTCATGTATCCTGAGCAGCATTCTATTGAATGTCTTAAAAATGAGAGCCCCAGGGTGCCTGGGTGGCTCAGTCGGTTAAGCGTCTGCCTTCGGCTCAGGTCATGATCCTAGGGTCCTGGGATCGAGCCCCGCATCGGGCTCCTTGTTCAGTGGGGAGCCTGCTTCTCCCTCTCCCACTCCCCCTGCTTGTGTTCCCTCTCTCACTGTCTAATAAATAAAAATCTTTAAAAAAAAATGAGAGCCCCATTTTAACTTGCCTGTAGGAATCTTGAAATGTGACTTTCCTTTTCCTGAAATGTATTTATTATTCTCCCAGCTAGCTGAGGAACGTATTGGAAATATAAGAACTGTTCGAGCTTTTGGTAAAGAAATGACTGAAATAGAGAAATACACCAGCAAAGTGGACCGCGTGATGCAGTTAGCAAGGAAAGAAGCATTTGCTCAGGCTTGCTTCTACGGAGCAGTAAGTAGATCATTTTATTTATTTATTTATTTTTTCAATTAGCAATAATCGCGCCTCGGATAAACCTCATTGGCTATGATACTGCCACTGCGCAAAGCTAGTAAGTAGATCATTTTAAAAAGACTGCAAAGGGTGGATCTTATGACTGAAAGACATTTTTATTCTGTGACTTTGCCATGAATAGAAAATAATTCTCTTCCACTTCGAGACTAGGTGTGAGCATTCATAAACTATTTATGTGAAGGAAGAGGAAAACCGCTACATGTAACAAAGGGAAGTGGGTGATGAGACCAAAACAGCGTGGGATCAGACAGCTTCCCGGTGTGGTCCAGACCACCTGCATCCGCTTCACCTGGGACCTGGCTGGATGTGCAGATCCTCAGCTTCACTCCAGACCCATGAATCAGAAACCCTGGCGCAGGGGCCAGCAATCCATTTTAACAGGCCTCCAGGTCATTCTGATGCAGTTTGAGACCCACTGAGGATTAACCAAAATAACTTCAGTGTATCTCAAGAAAGAAGTATGAAAAAATATGACACTGAATAGAAAATCACCATGAAGGGAAATCCATAGCATCTTCAAATTGGAAAGAACTTCAGGTGATTCAATAACGGTCATGATTTAGGGACATGGAGGAAGCAGAGGCCCAGATAAGGCAGCATTGACCAGAGACCACGCACCTAACAACGCTCAAGGCAGATAAGAGAGACAGGACTCCAACTGCTTATCCAGCTTTGCTCGGGGTATCACATTAGAATATATAAACACACATATTAACTATATATTCATCTCCTTCTTATGGAGGGAGTTCTTAATATTGTTCTTTCCTTTGCAAACTGAATAGATTGAGTAAAATAGGAATCAGATGGGTGTCTTAGCTTCTAGGTTTTCCTGTTGATGAGTATATTTCCTTCAAGTACTGTAATATTTCAAAAGTATTTTTTTATTTGAAATTCACATTAAAACTTACTATTCGGAAAAATCTTGTTGTGATAGTTAAATGTAAAAAGGAAATTATAGGCCATGTTCATCCTTGTAGCATTTAGGTCTGTGGTTCCCACCTGACATCTCTGTTTTCTTCATTTGACAGACAGGGCTCTCCGGGAACCTGATCGTGCTTTCTGTCTTGTACAAAGGAGGGCTGCTGATGGGCAGTGCCCACATGACCGTGGGTGAACTCTCGTCCTTCCTAATGTATGCTTTCTGGGTTGGATTAAGCATTGGAGGTATATAATTTAAATAGGCTTGAGAGTTACAAACTAAAAATCAGGTTGTTGTTTCTGAAATAAAAATTTAACTTTCCCATTACACCACCTCTCATCAATTAACTTCCAACTGAAAAAACATTTCCTAGAATGTTAGTCCAACTTGACTTTGAAAGAAGAAATAAAGATATGAATGTGATCCCATGTAGGTGGGCAGTTACTTGGCTGGGAAGCTGAGGATTTTTACAGGCCTCTTGCAGCTCACTGAGCTTGGGGTCGTACTGGAGCCGTATTTTCCAACTCGCCTATTAAGACAGCTTGTTTGCTTTGGCCTTAGGAGATGGGGAGGGGGAAGGACAGCGCTGAACAGCTGTGAACACAAACCCACAGTCCTGTAGTAGTGGTAGTTTCCCGACTGACAAATCACTGGGGAATAAAATTCCTTTCGTAAGAAGTCAACCAGGTTCAAAATTGATGAACGATCGAACGGTATAAATTAGAAAGTTCATGAAACAGAATTGCCTGCTTTTGTCAGGAATCTCTCAGAGTTCAGCTTTTGTTGTCCATTCCTGGCTAAAGGGAAGCAAGGTCCATGGAAGCAAATATGTGGGAAGTCAGTGAGGTTCTCTTTTCTGTACCTCTCTGGCATGCCCAGCCAACAAGGGGCAAGAGATTTCCTGCTTTTTGATTCCTTTCTTTGAAGACTGAGATAGGAAGGTTAGATAAATAGCCTGAGGTCTGATCAACGGAAGTCTGGTATCCCACAGTGTCACCTCAACCTGAGATTTTTATTGTCAGGGTTTAAAGGTAGAGGCTTTTCCTTAGACATCTGCAGGCAAGTGAGGATATATATTTTCTGGACTGAGATTTCCAGAGATCCCTGAAAATAGCATTTTAGTTCTGCTGGCTGCTTTTTTTTTTTTTTTTACGATTTTTATTTATTTATTTGACAGAGAGAGACACAGCGAGAAAGAGAACACAAGCAGGGGGAGTGGGAGAGGGTGAGGCAGGCTCCCCGCCGAGCAGGGAGCCTGATGCGGGGCTCGATCCCAGGACCCTGGGATCATGACCTGAGCCGAAGGCAGACGCGCCCCTCTGCTGGCTGCTCTTGAAGAAAAACCTGATTAACACGGTTCAGGGTGCTGAGTGGCTTGGGAAGTGAGAGGGTCAGTTCAGGAGGAGCCGGTGATGTGGTTAGGTCTCTCTCCACCCCTGGGTTGAGCCTGCTGGGCTGCAGGGTCTCAAACCTGGGTGGTCACGTTCCTTCAGGTCTTCTGGCCTGCCTCAGAGTGGACTTACCTACTACCACGTCCCCTCCCTATGGCCTTTCTGTTCACGTTCCATGCTTGACCACAGTCAGCTTTCCTCCCCTTTCCGTACGTTTTCTGCCACAAATTGACTTGATCTTTCTCAAGTCTCTCTGTTCCTCCCACCCGCTTTTCTCCAAACTACTTGACCTGATAGAAGCCACGTCTGATTTGGTGTGTTCACTGTCTTACTTTTTGTCCTGACAAGTTCACAACTGTGTCTTGCACAGAAGTAGGTTGGAAACACAGTTCCCATCTGCGGGGAGTCAGTTACCTCCCCCGTTATAGAAACGGCTGCTGAGGTTTGTCTGTGCTCGAGGTCTGGGGTCACTTGGCTTTCAGAGCCGCAGGCTGTCCCACATCTCTGGTCGCTGTCTTGTATGATACCTGCTGTCTGGTGATGGAAGGAGAAAAGGTACAGGTGGATGTGGAGGAGTCTGTTAGCACACGGTCTCCCCACAGTTACAAGCCAGACAGGTACGTAAGGCTACAGGAACTTTATTCAACAAGTTGAATTAGATTTTGAATGTTTTTGTAAAGCTCACTGTTCAAAATAATTGCATAATGAATCTTCAAGCAAGAAATTCTATTTTATTTATTCAATAAATAAGAATTTTTAGATGTTGTTTTCTGCTTAGAACCGCATGCTGAAAAACAAAAACAAATTCTACTTGCATTCTTTGCTGAGAGAGGGTCAGAGTGCTGTTTGAAGAAAAGCATGCTTGCTTGTTTTGCACCGGAGAATGCTCTGACATCTTCCTACTGAACCTGATATCTTGTTTCTGATTTATTTTTATTGAGGTGAAATTCACATAACATAAAATTACCCATTTTAAAGTTTACGATTCAGTGCTAATTTTGTACATTCATGGCATTGTGCAACCACCACCTCACCTTAGTTCCAAAATATTTTCGTACCTCAAAAGAAAATCCCGTACTTATTAAGCAGTCTGTTTCCATATCCCTCCCCTCTTCAGCCCCTAGCAACCACAGTTTGCTTTGTGTCTTCGTGTGTTTACTTTAGTTCCTATAAATGGAATTACATAATATGTGGCCTTGTATGTTTGGCTTCTTTCACATAGCATAATGTTTTCAGAGTTCACCCACATTGTAGCATGGGTTGGTACTTCATTACTTTTTATGACCCTAATACTCCACTGTATGGAGAGACCACATATTGTTTATCCAGGGCCATTTTGTTTTGTTTCTATTTTCCAGAGTCTAAACTCTACTCTGTTGAACTACCTCCGACTCCTTCCTTCCTTTCTGTTTTTTATTAACAGAATTTTTTTTAGAGGAATTTTAGGTTCACAACAGGATTGAGGGGAAAGTATAGAGAGTTCCCACATATCTCCTGCTTCTACATGAGCACAGCCTCCCTCAGTATCAACATCCCCCATCCGAGTGGTACATTTGTTATAATTGACAAACCCAACACTGACACATCATCATCACCCAAAGTCCATAGTTTATATTATGTTCACTGGTGTTGTATATTCTATGGGTTTGGACATGTGTCTGTCATCACAGTATCATACAGAATACTTTCACTGCCCTAAAAATCCTCTCTGCTCTGCCTGTTTCTCCCATCCCCTCACCCTTCACAACCACTGATCTTTTTACTGTCTCCATAGTTTTGCCTTTTCCGGAATGTCCTATAGTTCAGATTGGCATCTTTCATTTAGTAAATGGCATTGAGGATTCCTCCATGTCTTTTCAGGGCTTGATAGCTCATTTCTTTTTAGGACTGACTAATATTTCATTTTCTGATGTACCACAGTTTATTTGTCCATCCACATATTGAAGGACATCTTGGTTACGTCCCAGATTTGGCAATTATAACTAAAGATGCTATAAATATCCATGTGCAGATTTTCATGTGGACATAAGTTTTCACCTTCTCTGGGTAAACACAAAGGGATGAGATTGCTAGATCATATGCAAAGAGTATGCTGAGTGTAAGAAACTGCCAAAGTGGCTGTACCATTTTGCATTCCCACCAGCAGTGGAAGAGGGTTCCTGATGCGCCACATCCTCCTCAGCTGTTGGTGCTGTCAGAATTTTGGGTTTTCGTCATTCTGTTAGGTGTACAGTGGTATCTCGCTGTTGTTTTGTTTGCATTTCCTTGATGACATATGATGTGGAGCATCTTTACATATGCTTATTTGTTATCTGTATTTCTTTAGTGAGGTCTTTGGGTTCAGGTCTTTTGCCCATTTTTAAATTGGGTTGTTCGTTTTCTTATTGTTGAGTTTTAAGAGTTCTTATATCGTGGATGTCTGTCCTTTATCAGATACGTCTTTTACAAATATTTTCTCCCACTCTGTGGCTTGTTTTCTCATTCTCTTTGGAGAGCTCCAGTTTTCAATTTTCATGAAATCTAATTTATCAGTTCTTCCTTTCATTGATCATGTGTTTGGTGTTTATCTACAAAGTCATCACCAAACCCACAGTCATTTAGGATTTCTCCTATGTTATCTTCTAAGAGTTTTATAGTTTTGTTCTTTACATTTAAGTCTGTGATCCATTCTGAGTAATTTTTGTGAAGGGTGTGAGGTCTGTGTCTAGATTCTTTTTTTTTTTTTGTATGTGGATGTCCAGTAGTTCCAGCACCATTGTTAAAGGGTATCCTTTCTTTATTGAATTGCCTTTGCTCACTTGTCAAAGATTAGTTGACTATATTTATCTGGATCTATTTCTGCCCAGTGCATTTTTAATTTAACCTGAAGAGTTTAATCCACTGTATTTTGCACAAATTTCCACGAATATATGCACAAAAATACCTTAGAAAGAATATTTGGATAGTATTTTTGCAGCATCCTTACTGAGGGAAAGTATTACAAGTGTTATGTTCTTGCAGTTGACATGGCCTAGTGTACTTAGAGTTTGTTTGTTTTAAGTCATTAATTAATTCATAGTTCAAAGGTGACTTTAAAAAGAGATGGTTGGAATATTTAACATTTCCAAATTACTTTTCAGTTTTTAGCCTAGTAAAAGTTCTATTTGTTGACTGACTGAAAGGGGGGGGTTGATTTTGTGGATATGAATTTAAAATGAATATTGAGATGTTTTATATTCCTTTTAAGTAAGTGTTTTATTTATATTGTTATGTTTTTTTGACTAGGTAGATTTTCTCTGTAACATAGTGATTTTAATTCAGTGGTTGATTACTATGGCTCTATGCATTTGTAAATTCCCAAACATTTAATCTTTATTAGAAATCAATGAAATTGGAGAAGGAGAAGCTGAGGGCAAACAAGGGTATGAGACAGGGAATTTTGAATATGGTAGTTGCCTCAAATCCTTTTTTGAAAGGTAACAGATTTTATATCAAAAGCAAGTTATTGTTACTGTCCACAGAGGTCTGGGAGTAGCAGATGATCATTTCCTGGCATCGGTGACAGATATGTTTGCTTCTTGTCCTCAGGTCTGAGCTCTTTCTACTCGGAGCTGATGAAAGGGCTGGGTGCCGGGGGACGCCTCTGGGAGCTCCTTGAGAGAGAGCCTGAGCTGCCTTTTAATGGTGGGTCTCCCATGGGTTTGTTCTTTGCTGGGATTAAACAAATGTGGCTTTGGACAGTTAGACCAACTCCCTGTTCTACCTGCAAATGACAAGCAGGGCAAGGATGTCATCCCTGCCACACAGCAGAGAGGGTGATCAGAGGGGCAGGCAGGGAGAGAGGAAGGATGGTGCCAGGCACTGCTGCTGAGCAGAGGACTGCCCTGGAAGCGAGGGGGCTGACCAGGCGGTGTGCCTTCCTGCAGGTGATTCGTTACCACCACAGCAGGAAGGAAGGGAGTACCACCTAGGGTTGCACATAGGAAGGGCCCTGGCCAGTCCACCAGATTTGTCTTCTCTAGTGATTCTGATGTTTGGGCGGTGGGGAGGGTGAGGGAAAGGAAGACAGATCACACATAGAAAAGCCTCTGAATTTCTTGGCTTTGGGTAGTGGGCCAGGGGATGCTGGTGTTAATTGGCTAGAGCCATCTCCTTTATTAGCTCCTTTCTTGGAAGCTAGGACTGGGGGAGCCGTGTGGCCAGAGCAGTAACCACTCCTCACTCACTGACTCCCAGGACATTGTGGCTTAGCCCTAGATCATGAGTGAAAGCCCAGCATTCTCCAGTGTGACGGGCTGGAGGAAATAAACACAGCTAAAAGAGATGGAGCAGCTTCTCCCAAGTCATTAGCAAGGTAATATCAGACTCTGAAGCTGTTGTACAAGGCTCACCCATTTACCATCATTCTATCAAAATATTTATTTAGAGTAGATAAGATAAAACCTGGACCTGCGGAACTACAGAGGCAGTGGCACAGAGGAGAGGCAATGGGGCTTGAAACCAGACTGCTCCACAGGTGAAAACGAGCTCCACTACCCATTAGCTTGGGCAGGTGGTTGTCTCTGAGATTCAGTGTCTGGTCCTCTCTGCCTCTCAAGGCTGCGAGAATCAGACAAGCGCATACGTAGAGTGCCTCGGACAGAGTGGGTGCAGAGCAGGCTCAAGGTAAGCATTAGGCAGAGGCCTGTTCCTGCTGTGCCCGGTAAGAGCTCCTACTGCAGGTGAGCACAGGAGCTGTGGGCCGGGGCCATCTGTAGGCAGACAAATGGGAGAACGGAGTTCTGCTGTCAGCTTGATCTTTGCGTTACGTAACTAGTATTCTATCTTGTTTCAGAAGGGGTCATTTTAAACAAGGAGAGCTTCCAGGGCACTTTGGAGTTTAGGAATGTGCATTTCGCCTATCCAGCTCGCCCAGAGGTGCCCATATTCCAGGATTTCAGCCTTTCTATCCCATCAGCATCGGTCACAGCGCTGGTTGGCCCAAGTGGTTCTGGCAAATCAACAGTGGTGTCCCTCCTGCTGAGGTTGTATGACCCCATGTCTGGTGAGTGCTTCATCACATGGTAGGGTGAGAGGACTCTCCAGAGCCCTTCTACTCTCATGTTCTGGGAGAGGACCAAATTATGCAGAGACCTTGTATGTGAGAATTCTGAAATGCCAGAGGGTTTGTTCCCAGGAAAGAAATCCCTTATACAAAGGTGTCACTTTTAGGAGTATATAGAAGGCCTGTCGGGCAGTTTGTATATTTCGTGTCTGACCTCTTCACCTCTTTCTACTTGGAGCTGATGAAAGGGCTGGGTGCCAGGGGACGCCTCTGGGAGCGAGTGACTTCCTGAATTCTACCTCCTCATCTCCCATGCTGGTGTGCCCTTCTGATGCCCCCTCTCCTGGGGTGGGCAAGGCTGCTCCACATCTCCAAAAAGGTGCCCACGTATGGCTGGCTGAGCAGCACCGTGGAGTGAGTACCACTCTGTGCCGGCCACTCGGCTTGTAAAGCTCTCTGGAAGCCTTCAGGCTGCATCTGCCCATGAAATGCCCCGTGGCTAGCATGCAGATGGGTGATTTGGCAGCCAGGGATCCCCTTCTATGTGACTGCTTTATTGAAGCTATTTTGAGGTAGTAGGGATTTTCTTAATGGATTTTTATGTTTTGGTTTTTATTTTTAACTGGATTATAGCATCTTTTAGAGCAAAGAATATGTTATTTTACTTCTTTATGTCCTGTTAATTAAGATGTAATTGACATATAACATATCAGTTTCAAGTGTGCAAAATGATTTGCTGTGTGTATATATTGTGAAATGTCTAGTTAACATCCGTCACCACACATAAAGTTTATATCCTTCTTTATATCAGAGCCTGGAGTAGATAGTCCATATTAATGGATTTAATTTTGGACTGAGAAAACGATGTTTCTCGGCAAGAAAACAACTTTAGGTAAAAATTACAGTATTAGTTTAAAATCAGTGTGTCTTTGATCTCTGTATCTGTGCTTTTTGGTTAAAACCACGAGGGAGCTGGTTATATGCCAGATAGTTATTTGACTTGCAGATCCTGAGCCACGGAATCACCAACTATGTTAAAATGGGTGTTAACTATACTGTTTGCCTCTGGAATCCCTGTTTTGATTCACGCTACTTGCTATAAAATTCTGAATTTAGAAAAATCCTAGTTAGGTGAATGCAAAGCAAGTCAAAATATGAAGCCTCTAGTTTCTTTATCATGGTGAATAAATATCAAGGAGAAAAGAAACTACACGTAAATTCCAGCCTTCGCAGACTGTAGAACACTTGTACTTTTTAAGTCAAAAACCTCAGGTTTTTGCCAGTGTATGAAAGTTTACAGCTGGTTTGTATAATTCCACGCCACTGACGGAGAAAGCATGGTGTTTCTTAGTCAACGTTATCGTCATCCCCAAGCATTACTGAGTTCCCTCCGTGTTGTAGAATTAATTCTGTTAGCTAGGGTCATGGAATTACATCTGATTATTTAAAAGCTCTGCTATGGTATCAGATTCATGGCTGTGGATGATGAGTCTCCTCCAACTGCATTTATGCAGGAAGGGATATTTTAAGGAGTAATAAAAGAGCTAAAAAAAATCACTGGCAGGATTGAATTTCCAGGACACTCCTCAAAACTTCACCACAGAACCAGGCCTTCATGGTAGTTGCTGATGCTGACATATCAGGAAGCTCCAGAGTTAGGCAGCTTCAGAACTGTGCCAGGACTGCCAGTGTTGGTGCCAGCACGTGGGCACCTCACCGCGTGCCCCTTCCACGTAACTCGGCTTCTGAATCAGCGTGGCACAGGTGAATCTTCTCGGGGAGCCGAGTCCCTCCAGAAAGGAAGCCACTGCAGCAAAGCGAGCTGGGTGGATGAACTAGTGGGTGGGCTAGCCAGCCAACTACTGTAGGGAGACAGTAGACAGGGAAAGGCCGTGAAATACGTTGATTTTAGATGCTGTTTGGAGATTTTGAACATACTTTGAATCTTTAAAAGAACTGAATGTGGAATTTGTCCACCAGATCCTTTCTGTGTTCACATTAGTCATTGGCCCCATGACATTCTGTGACTTTCCTCTCCTCTTTACAAGGAACTATCAGTCTCGATGGCCGTGATATCCGTCAGCTAAATCCAGTCTGGCTGAGATCCAAGATTGGGACAGTGAGTCAGGTGAGAAGAGAGGTTTCTATTTTTATTACACTGTCTTTTATATTCACTTTTATTATATATCTTTTCCTTAGACTTGAACCCCTCAAAAGAGAAGAAATGGAAGTTCTCCAGAGGTGCTAAACTAATCTCCCATCGCATGTTTTTTAGGTTTGTAAATAGTGCTGTATCCTGAAGACCTTAAACACTTGAACCAGTTGAAACTGACTTTTTATCCAAAGCTGGGGACTAGTATAACTTTGTAATGCAGGTAGTCCAGAGGATGGGGAGGAAATGATAGAACTTTTTAGCTTTTACTGACAATTCACATTCTCATCACAGCACAGTCTACTGTTTTATATAATGGGTTTCAGGAATAAGCAAGCAAAGAGTATGGCAAGAGCCAGGGTCTCCTTGCAAAGAGGTCACAGATTTCAAGGCAGAATGTTAGTGTAATATGGTCACTTTAATGAGATCATTTGGTGCAGGGAAATTTTGACACAGCTGTTTATATTTTACTACCAGGCTATGTGCACAGCAGACAAACCTGAGGCTTCCCTCATTTCTGAGCCTCCCCCTCTAATGAACTTCTCCTCAGACCTTACCCTCATCCCACTCCACTGGGTGAGGAGCAGGAGGGGCAGTGATGGGAGCGGCTTGTTAGTATATGGATAGCAGCAGTGCATAGTGTTTAGGGATGGAGGAAAGAAGCTGGAGGTTTATTTGCTTTTTTAGGACTGTTCCACAAGGTGCTGTTAAAATGTCATGTTCCCACCTGGTTTGTGTCTATTTCAAAAAGTAATGAATAGAGATGGAGTCCCCCTCAGTCCTCAGTGGGAAGCCCACAGCTGGAAAATATAGATGGACCCGGTGCCTTCCATACCGGCGTATTCCTGAGGGAGGGAGCTTGCATTTATGAAGAATCAACTATGTGCCAGGCACCTGCCATGGGATCTCATTTCCTGTGGTATCATGATGAAATCAATCCTGTTCATGGAAAAGCGTAAATTTTTTAAAAGTCAGCTGGGCGAATTTATGGAGAATGAGGAAGTAGAATCAAAATAGTATAATGTTGGGTACCTGGGTGGCTCAGTTGGTTAAGCATCTGACTCTTGGTTTCAGCTCCAGTCTTGGGATTGAGCCCCGCGTCGGGCTCCGTGCTCACTGTGGAGTTTGCTTGTCCCTCTCCCCCCCTCCTCTGCTCCTCCCTTACTCACTCATGTGCATGTGCAAGTGCTCTCTCTCTCTCTCTCTTTCTCTCCAATAAATAAGTAAATAAAAATCTTAAAAAGTATAAAGTTGACCCTTGAACAACATGGGTTTGAACTGCATGGGACCACTTATATGTGGTTTTTTATGGTACAGTACCACAAATGTATTTTCTCTTATGATTTCTTAATAATGTTTTCTTTTCTCTAGCTTACTTTATTGTAAGAATACTGTATAGAAAATATATAACACACAAGGTACGCGTTAATCGACTGTTTATGTTATCAGTAAGGCTTCCAGTCTACGTAGGCTATTAGGGGTTAAGTTTTGGGGGAGTTCAAAAGTTATACTCAGATTTTCAACGGCATGGGGTCAGCACCCCTAACCCTCATGTTATTCAGTGGCTGACTGTGTATTCTTTGAGAACAATTTAATAGTTTCTTAGATGTAAGTACTGTATAGTAAGCTTCACTATATTTCCTAGATATGTTTGAAGTCTGTTTTGAAATTTGCAAGAAATAATGTTTTGTTTCCAATTTGCAGGAACCAATTTTGTTTTCTTGCTCCATTGCTGAGAACATTGCTTATGGTGCAGACGACCCTTCCTCGGTGACTGCCGAGCAGATAGAGAGAGTGGCTGATGTAGCCAACGCAGGTGCTTTCATCCGAAACTTCCCCCAAGGATTCAACACTGTGGTCGGAGAAAAGGGCGTTCTCCTTTCAGGTACCTTTTTGTTACTGCTTGGCAGCAAAAACTCTTGCTCCAAAGAACTCTGCAGCATTTCATACAGCAGTATTAATTTCTAATTAGGCTTTTGTCCTTAGAGTTTATGAGATTGGCCTTTCCCCTTCCTGTAATCTCTTTTGTATGTGGATAGCTCCCTGGTTTCCTTCACTTTCTACCTCAAAGGTGTTCCCAAATTCCCACGGAGTGTCCCACCGAGTAATAACTCAGCCACAGCAGCTTTTTTCTCATCTGAGAAAAGAATGTGTTTTGCAAATTGAGATCCTTGAAAATTGCAGAAAATAAGACAGATACAGCGTGGAAGGATGATTTGTCCAGGGAGGCAGGGGCTGTGAGCATAGAGCAGAACTGAAATTGAAGAGTTCTCTGCTCCCCACTTTGTACTTTACATGTTAGACCAGGGGTCCACAGACTCTCCTATAAAGGGCCAGAGAGTAAATATTTTAGATTTTATGAGCCACATGTGGTTTCTGTCACATATCCTTTGTTGATTTTTTTTTTTAAACAACCCTTTAGGAATGTGAAAACCACTCTTGGCTTGAGGGCCGTGCAGAAACAGGAGCTGGTCCCGGTCTGGCCCATGGCACAGTGTGCCACGCCCTGTGCTGGACACAGGCAAGACTTGCGGCTGAGGCTCAGTCGCTGTTCCCTGGGATGTTAGAGCACCTCGGAGTGCATCGCATTCTGGCTACCGTATTTTCAGGAGGGAAAGAAAAAACTTGTATTCTATTGCCTAGAATACAGAAGTGAGACCATTGAGTAGACTTAAAGAGAAATACATTTTTGGGTAAACACAGATAATTTTTTCATTACAGTTATTGACACATGCTCCCTTCCATGGAATGAGCACTCTGTCACTGGAGGTGTCTGCCTCCATGTCAGAGTGAAGGTGGCTGGGTTGGACTAGAGCAGTAGTCCTTTCCAACTCAAACCTTTTTTTTTTTTTTTAAAGATTTTATTTATTTGACAGAGAGAGACACAGCGAGAGAGGGAACACAAGCAGGGGGAGTGGGAGAGGGAGAAGCAGACTTCCCGCTGAGCTGGGAGCCCGATGCGGGGCTCGATCCCAGAACCCTGGGATCATGACCTGAGCCGAAGGCAGATGCTCAACGACTGAGCCACCCAGGCGCCCCTCCAACTCAAAACTTTTTGTTTCAGGTTAGACCACAGAAAATTTAACACAGACATGTTTTGATTGTGTATGATTTTTTTAAACAATAGGCAGTGGATGAAAAAATGTTTTGGATAGATTTGCAAGATTGCAGCAGTAGAATCACACATGGCTATGTAAAAATGACCTGCTCTGGCATCTCTGAAACACGTCCTTGGGTAGAAAACCAGTTTCAGCTCCCCATGGTGACATTATTGAGCGTCAGGGGGTGGAGCCAGGAGCTACCTCACTCCATCCAACAAGCGTGTCGCCTTCTCTCTTGGAACAGATTCTACAAGTCCTTCCCTCTACCAGGATTCTCAAGCTCCCATTTCAGAGTGAAATAACCAAAGGTTTCAGCCCATGCTCACTTTCTGGGGGGAAGAGAGAATATCTAGTGACAGATTCCCTGTGCACTAATTGGCACTGAGGATTTCTCAGAGCTGACCCAAAGCTCTCAGCTGGCTGCTCAGCCAGCCCACCTCAGAGCACTCCGACACCCTCACCAACTTCAGAGGTTCCAAAAGAAAGGGATTTCCCTGGTTCCCTTGTTGTGAGCATGGGGCTGCCTATCTGAGGACAGCTTTTAGGAGCACCACACATTTCAGTTGTAATTTGATTTCAGTTCATCATTTGATGAGCTGCTTTTAGATGAAATAATGTAATGTCCAGTAATTACTATTAATAAGTATTTCATCCAATAAAACCAACCAAAAAGGACTGTTTTCATCACCAAAAATGTAGTGAGTTTTCCAAAATGAAGTAAGTCGGGAGGAGTCCTGAGTAGTGTTCTCTGAGACTCTACCAGTTGTAACTTGGGAGTCCCGTCCCCTGGAGTAAAGGAGAGAAGGTGGTGTGAGGCAAAGATGAGGAAAGGGATTATCATAGATGTTCTTCTGCCTCCCTCTGTCTGTCCCATCTGCATTTACTCACTCCTATCCACCCCTACCCCAGTTTCTTCCCTTGCTTTTAGTAGAATTTGAGTTCTAAGAGGGCAGATTGAAGTGGCTTACTCAGACCTTGGTTCTGCCACTTAACCAACTATGAGACCTGGGACTGGTTATTTTGTGCCTTGGTTTTCATCTGTGAAAAGGGAATAATTACAGGATCTACTTCATAGGATTTTTTTTAAAGATTGAATGAGACAACATTGTAATGCTTTTAGACAATGCCTGGTACATAGGAACTCCTCAATAAATGTTAGCTATGATCATTGTTATTAATTTTGAGGTTGATGAGGAGACAATATATTTAAAAAATAGGCCTTTGTTTTACTGTCTATCTCAGATGTGACTAACTGGAAGAAGCTATCTTCAAATTGCCACTTAGCTTATCAGAAAAACCTGTTACCAAGAATTTTTGTTAAGGCTTTCAAGTGTAAAAAAAAAATATTGTCATTGTCAGGTGGGCAGAAACAACGGATTGCCATTGCCCGTGCTCTGCTTAAGGTAAGCTTGAAGCCATTTGGTCAGAATTTTTTTATTATCATTTTTAATTAGGGACCTTATAATTTTTAATTTACTCTTCTTCTTCTTCCTTTTGTTTGTTTTTTTTTGGACAGGAGGGTAGATCTATGGTTGATAGTTCAGGTGAAAGATGAGTTGGGAGTTCCACTGAGTACATGTTGTTCCAATTTAACAAGGATTTCTTCAGTATTAGGAGCCCAGTGCTGTGCTAGGGTTGTTGGAGGGAGAAAACTTTAACACATGGACCTTCTGTGAAGAAGTATAGGTCTAACAAGCGAAACAGTGATTATATAAAAATATCAAAACAATACAAGTATGATTCTTTGAATCTATAGTCAACTGCTAAACTTCGTAGTATAGGCTGGAAATACTTACCCAAAACTCCTAAGAGGAGAGGGAAAGCCATTTTAGCTGAAGGCCCCAGACATTGTAGTTTGTAGGAAATGATAGCTTTCCCCTTTGTTATGTAACTACTCTCCTCAGATTTATAAATGATGTTTTTAAAAAGCAGCTTTATTGAAGCATACCATAAAAACTCACCAGTTTTAAATGTACTCTTCAGTGACTTTTAGTAGATGTACAGTTGTTCAACCATCACACAGTCCAATTTTAGAACATTTCTGTCACCCCAGATAGATCCCTTGTACCCACTTGCAGTCTTTCCCCACTCCTAGCCCTAGTCCCAGGCTGCCACCAATGTACTTTCTGTCTGTCCTGATTTGCCTTTCTGGACATTTCAGATAAATGGAATCAGACAAGATGTGACCTTTGCATCTCGCCTCTTTTACTCGTATAATGTTTGTTTGTTTTTTTCAAGGGGGGAGGGGCAGGGGAATGGGAGAGAGAGAATCTTAAGTAGGCTCCACTCCCAATGTGGAGCCTGACGTGGGGCTCGATCTCACAACCTTGAGATCATGACCTGAGCCGAAATCAAGAGTTGGAGGCTTAACCGACTGAGCCACCCAGGCGCCCCATGCGTACCATGTTTTTGAGGTCTGTCCGCATCTCTGCGTATATCAGTCCTTCTTTACTCCTTTCTCTTGCTGAGCAGTATTCCTCTGTGCGCCACAACACGACTCGAGTATCCATTCACCAGTGCTGAACATTGGGGTTGTTTCCAGGCTAGGGCTATTGTGACTAGTGCTGCTGTGAGCAAGCAGCGTACAAGTTTCTGTGTGAACGTACATTTTCATTTCTTGTCAGCAACTTCCTAGGCACAGCTAGAATTTAATGTGTTAGAGACATCAGCTGACTCTTACCTTGTCTCGGTTTTATGTGATGCTCCTAACTAAACTACAAGCAGGACCTTGAGAGGCTAGACTCTGTCCTACTCACTTTAGATCCTGCCTCACACTGCCGGTTGACTGGCCAACAGCGTAAACTGCACTGTAAACAAGGTCCAGTCCAGTGATGCCCGCAACAGTGGCTCAGAGAGTCACCTCTAACTCTTCCATTTATGTGCTTAGCTCACACAGTTAGGAGTCTGTGCTTTTCTTTTTTGTAGCAGCTTTATTGTGATACAATTTACATCCTATACAGTTCACCCATTTAAAGCGTGCAGCTCAGTGGGTTTCAGTGTAGTCCGAGTTGTGCATCCATCACCAGAATCAATTTTAGAACATTTTCGTCGCCCCAGGAAGAGACGCTAGATTCTTTACCAGTCACACATGGCCCCCTGTCTTATTTCTCTGTTGACCTCAGCCCCAAGTGAGCGCTTACCTACTCACTGTCTCTGTAGGATATGCCTGTTCTGGACATTTCATATGGATGGGGTCCTGCAATATGGGCGTTTTGTGTCTGGCTTCTCTCACGTAGCAGAATGTTTTCAAGGTTCATCCATGTTGTATCGTGTATGAGTACTTCATTTCCTTTTATTACTGAGAGTTTGTGTTTTTATAATAAAACTGTTTCAAAAGAAAAGAACATTAAAAACATATTAAAAACAATTAAAAATAGTGTTTTTCTTTTTTCAGAATCCCAAAATTCTTCTCCTAGACGAAGCAACCAGGTGAGCATATCTTAATACTCTGTGTGATTGTACAAGCCAAATTCTTCCTTTACCAAAAACTTACTCTTCTGTATTTCAAAGCGATACAGCTGAAAATGCTGTTTTTCCCGCTCCCACTTTAAAGTGACCAGGTCTGAATTAATAATGACAGCGGGGAGGCAGTGGACAGGCCAGGTCAGAAGTAGAGGGTTCTAGGGCGCCTGGGTGGCTCAGTTGGTTAAGCGACTGCCTTCGGCTCAGGTCATGATCCTGGAGTCCCGGGATCGAGCCCCGCATCAGACTCCCCGCTCAGCAGGGAGTCTGCTTCTCCCTCTGACCCTCCCCCTTCTCATGCTCTCTCTGTTTCATTCTTTCTCTCTCAAATAAATAAATAAAATCTTAAAAAAAAAAAAAAAAAGAAGTGGAGGGTTCTAGTCTCAGTTCAGTCCCGTTTATGATGAGCCCTGGGTCACACCCAGCAGCAGCTCTACAGAGTGCTTTCTACTGTGACAGCAGGTCTATGGAAATCAAGGGTCCCAAGTTTCCTTTTTGTAGTATTTTTATAATATAAAAAATAGATAGTAGAAGTGTATATATAGTAGAAGTGGTGATCTTGGTCGTGGTGAAAATGCGCTGCTCCTCTAGGGCAACTGCGTGTGTGACAGGAAGCACATGAGTGCACAGTGTGCGCGGGACTGAAGTCTTTGCTTTCTCACACGGTTTCCTGTTTGAAGTGCCCTAGATGCTGAAAACGAGCACCTTGTGCAAGAAGCTCTAGACCGACTCATGGAAGGAAGAACAGTGTTAATTATTGCCCACCGTCTGTCCACTATTAAGAATGCTAATACGGTGGCTGTTCTTGACCAAGGAAGGATTACAGAATGCGGGAAACATGAAGAACTGCTTTCAAAACCAGATGGGACATACAGGAAATTAATGAACAAGCAAAGCCTTAGTTCAGTGTAAAGGAGCAATTACTGATAAAGTGAACATGAGAGGCTTTAGACATCGTTGCAGGAAAAATACTTAGAGATGGTATCTAATCTGTAAATCATACTTCAGGTTATTTAAAATATGCCTATTTTTTCCAAGGTGGGTAAAATATCGTTTTGAGATGTACCTGTTCTCGACCTTTTTATTCAGAGTTTTAATAATTGTAACTTTCTAAATGTCTATAGCACTGAAGTTATTTTCAGGTTTTTTACTTTCTTTTATCCTGGAATACTTTATTTAATATAACATGGCACCTCATTTTTATTTTTTATGCGCTGTTACAGATTGAAGCTGTTGTCCAATGACAACTTTGAAAAGGGGATTATAAATAAAAAGCTTAATTATTTTAGGTGATTTGCCAACCACTGTGTAATTTTCTTGGTAGTATTCTACCTACATTGTGTCTCATTTTCCTAGAAGATGAAAATCTTCCCTTTTTTTATTCTGATAATCTCCTGAAGTGAACCTGACATACAGAATAGAGGAGTAGTTAGCATCACATAGCGAGAAGGGAACATTTACGTTCCTACCTCCTGTGTCTTCAGGGGTATGAAATTTCAGATATATGTGTTCCTCTGGGATGAGACCATGTTTGGATGTGTGTGGTTTTCAACATTTTTAGCATGTGAAAGCCTGACAAGTTTTAAAAAGGGAAGAAGCCCAACGTTTGAATATGGAAACTTCTATTTTCATTATTCACGCATCTGTTACTGTGGAAAGTCAAGCATGAACTGCTAGGTACTATCAAGAGGTAAAAATGAATTTTACATTTAAGTCATCCGAGGCATTTATTTTGAAAGTTATCTTTTAAAATTTTGTAATTCCTAGCCCGATTTTAGGTTTTATCCATTAAGTACTTTTGAAATTTCATTCAATGAAGCAAAAACCTAAACTGTAATTTTCAACCTTAAAACATTTGAAGAAAGCTTAGTTCTTCCTATTCTACAGAATATCAAGAAACTTTCAGAACTTGTTATTCTTCTGAAAAGAGGACAATAACCCTTTTTATTTATGGTTATAGTTTTATTCACCCAGATGCCTCAGAATTCTGAAAGCAATGCTGATAACCATTAGATTTGCCATATTTCAAATCAGTGCTGTTAATTTGCTGTTGCCTCAAGAAAAAGTGCTTTTTTTACATTGATGATGCCAGAACCTAAGAAATAACTGTGTTGATGTAACTAAAATGGAAGTTTGCCTGTGTTCTAAGTATTGATGAGTTCACTGATTATGCTGGAAGGAGAAACCACTACTTCATGATAAGCGTGCGGTATTATAATTCATTCTACATAAGGGAATTTGTTATTGAATAAAATGAACTCAGTGAATGAATGAACTCCACGTTCTTTGTATTAGGAAACAGTACATCGGTGACAATCATTTTAACAAGCTTTACTTGTATTCTTTATACAATTTGCAATTATGATGTGGTTCTCAGAAAGCAGACAAAACACAATTACAAGGTTGGATCTGAGGGAAATTTGCTTTGTGCCATAGAAGTATTTACAAAATTGAATTTGATCATTATATTTTATTTTCTAATACAAGATGTTCAATTGTGTCTTTAGGGAACATTTTATATCCTGGATTAAAATTTATAGTGAACTTTATCTGTGTCTGTCACTTCTTATAAAACTTTATTACATTCAGTTTCTTACTGGAGTTTGGCTGTGGAGATTCAGGAATAAAGAAAAAACTAACATTATAAATAAATAAAAGTAAGTAGTAATTACAAGTTCCTTTCATTTTCTCCCTACCTGATTGTTAATGTTCTCATTTTTATTTTTTATTTTTAAAAATTTTTTTTCTATTTACAAACTGTTAGAGGGTGGGGGAAGGACAGTAAAGTATCCCCCAAACTGAGAAAGTACGTAGAGACTGGAGAATGAAGCAGGTGACTCCAACCAATTGACACAGTTTTATTCAGGGTAACTTGCTGATGGGGGAGTCGTGTGGATGACGATCCAGGCAGCTGCACAGCAATTCTCCATAAAGTCCAGACCTTGGTCTATAGATTTTATGGAGCAAGGAGATGTGTGGGTGGGGAGGGCACTGTAGTGAGATCAGAGGGCTTGCATGCACCTAACTGACAACTAACCTTTAATTAGATATTGTGGCACCATCCATGTGTCAGGAAGGGTAAAGACTCTTATCTCTAACATTCATGGGAGGCCAAAGCAAGCCTCCACACATCCCAGCCTTGGTGGGCATTTTTAAGGTATGTATATTAATCTTCAAGGGGCCTGGAACACGAGAGGTCATTGAGCAAACATGAACAAGATGGAGGGCTAAAGATGGAGTCCGTATTGTCAGTACTCCTACATAAACACTCTAGTTGCTTCAGTGCAATAAATAAATATCCCCTGCCCCCACCTTGGACAAGGAATTGTGCTGTCGAGTTGATGACAGAATGATTATCTGCCCTCAAGGAGCTTCTAGCTTATTTAGAAAGATAAGGCAGATAAAAATCAATTACAAGAAAATAGCTAAATATTACAGAGGTGGTGTTGCTAACACTGTGGATGGTATCACTTTGTTTCCAGAGTGTTTATACATGTTACCGTGTTTGATACTTTGACAATCCTATAATTTATTTTTTATTTATTTGACGGGGGGGCGGGGAGGCGCACAAGCAGTGGGAGTGGCAGGCAGAGGGAAAGGGAGAAGCAGGGAGCCCAATGCGGGGCTTGATCCCAGGACCCCGGGATCACTACCTGAGCCGAAGGCAGATGCTTAACCGACTGAGCCACCCAGGCACCCCAGGCAATCCTATAATTTAAAGAAATACCTATCACCCCCTTTTCACAGAAGAGGAAATAAGAATAGGCAAATTGTAGGGGCGCCTGGGTGGCTCAGTCCTTAAGCGTCTGCCTTCGGCTCAGGTTGTGATCCCGGGTCCTGGGATCGAGCCCCACATGGGGCTCCCTGCTCAGCGGGGAGTCTGCTTCTCCCTCTCCCACTCCCCCTGCTTGTGTTCCCTCTCTCACTGTCTGTCAAATAATAAATAAATAAAAATCTTTAAAAAAGAAAAAAAGAATAGGCAAATCGTAAATTCAGCATTGATGCTTTATACAAAGAGATTCGAGAAATGGGAGCCAATCATGGGGGACTTTTGACATTATGCTGAAAATCTTAGCTTTCATCCTACATGCATGGAGAGCATATGTTCATATAAGCAATTTAGAAAATAAGCAAAAAAGAAAATTTTAATCACCAGAAATTCTATCTGTGAAGATAAAATTTCATGTTATTGAGCTTAGTGTTTTGTTGTCCACCCTCCCAGGCTCATCTCTATGTGCAAGGCCTTCTCTGACCCTGGACTTGACTGGTTCTCAGGAAATAATCATAAGCTAAATAAACCATTATAGGCTAAACCCTTGTCAGTACATTTTTATAAGTTAAGGCTCTATTTTGGGAAATTCACTTTATTTCATAAAAAATGCCAAAGCTGTTAGAAAATAAATGAAAATAAATGTACATGTTAACAAAACATTAAGTATATTAATGAAAGAAGTATGTGAGAACTACATTGTAAATGTTCCTTTGGGAATGTTTTACATGATTTTTACGTCTGAGGCATCATGGCAATCTCTATTCGTTCAACTCATTCAAAAAACATTGAGGGCGCCTGGGTGGCTCAATTGGTTAAGCGACTGCCTTCGGCTCAGGTCATGATCCTGGAGTCCCGGGATCGAGTCCCACATCAGGCTCCCTGCTCAGCAGGGAGTCTGCTTCTCCCTCTGACCCTCTTCCCTCTTGTGCTCTCTATCTCTCATTCTCTCTCTCTCAAATAAATAAATAAAATCTTTAAAAAACAAAAAACATTATTGAGCATCCTCTTATTTTGTTAGGTCCTATGCCAACAAAGGACCTGTGCCTCCCTCATGAAACTAGCCCATGGGTCAGCAAACTGTGAGCAGTTGCCTGATTTGTATGGCCTGTAAGCTAAGGATGGTTTTTACAGTTTTGTTTGTTTGTTTGTTTTTAAAGATTTTCTTCATTTAGTGAGAGAGAGAAAGAGTGTGCAAGCTGGGGGAAGGGTAGAGGGAGAGGGAGAGAACCCCAAGCAGACTGCACTGAGTGTGGAGCCTGACTTGGGGTTTGATCCCACGACCTTGAGATCCTGACCTGAGCCAAAACCACAAGTCAAATGCCTAACTGACTGAGCCACCCAGGTGCCCCAGTTTTTACAGTTTTAAATGATTTTTAAAAACTAAAAGAAATATTTCATAACACATCAAAGTTACATGAAATTCAAATTCCAGTGTCCATACATAGAGTTTTATTGGAACATAGCCACACTCATTCATGAGCAGTTGCAACAGATTACAGCCTGCAAGCTGGAGATACTCTCTGCCCCTTGACAGTTTGCTGACCACAGAACTAGTGAAAACGATATGCATTCTTCCCTGCTTGGAGGACTTTCAAACTACAATGAAATTTAGAGTTATCTCAAAAAGTTCCATTGCCATTAGAGGCAATTAAATGAATGCCTTGAAAATGATTGGGCATGGATCATTTCCATGATGGGTTCTTCATTGTTTCCCTGTCTTTCCATTTGAATAATATCACCATTAATATGTTGGTGATAGTGGAATTCTAACAATTCTACAACAGCTGCAGGAAATAATTCTGGCTACTATCCCACTGTTGATTGCAGTGATTAGTACTAGAGAAGTCAAAGTTTGGTCTTAACTGAAAGGGCAGTACTTTAGGAAGGGTGTATAGAAGGGAGGCACATGTTCAAGTTGAGCTTCTCACATGTATACATGTGTCTATGAGGCCTTTTTTTATTTCAATAAAAAATGGGCTCATAGTGTACATACTGTTTTGTGACCCATCTGCTTTTTAAAATGTTACAATATTTTCCTATATCCTTAAGTATTCATTACACACATCTACATGTATTCTTTTTAACCACATACAATTTTATAATGTGAATATCCTATAAATCTATCATTGGACATCTTTCTATACTCTTTGCTATTATAAACAATACTATTTATTATGATTTTTTCAGATAAATTCTAAAAGTGAATTGCCACGTTTAAAGAGCATATACAAGTTATAAGGCTTTTTGATAGATTATCCTCTTAAAACTGTACTAATTTATAAAAATCTCACCAGAAGTGTATACACCAGCACCTATTCCTCCACGGCCTTTCAACATGAACTATTTTCATTTTTTATAACTTTCCAGCTAATCCAACAGGCAAACAATACTGATAGGTGGTTTGATTTGCATTTCTTTAACTATTAGTGATGTTGAAGATCTTTTCATGTGATTTTGGTCATTTCTAGTCTTTGACTTAATGCTAGTTCATGCCCTTCATACATTTCCATTTTTTTCTATTGGGGTAGCTTGCTTTCTCTTACTGATTTTCTTCAAAGAGTACTATTTTATTGGAAATATTGTTTTTCTTCAGTTTGCCTTCATTCTATGTTTGTTTTTTGACATTCACAAATACAGTCACATTTATATTATCTAATTCTCACAAGTGAGTACTATTAGTAATTTAATAGAGGCTCAAAAAGGTGACACAGATAGTAAATAGCAGAGGTGAGATTTGAACCAAGTACCATTTAATAATTCCGGAGTCTATACACTCAATTACTACGCCAGTGGTTATCAAAATGTCCCCGGACAGCAGCATCACCAACACCTAGAAGCTTATTAGAAATGCAAATTCTCAGAAACTGTGGGTGGGCAGCAACGCAGTTTAACAAGCCCTCCTGGTGATGATACATGTTTGAGTGTGAGAGCCACTGCACTACACTATCCCTTCTTCTAGATTTCCCGTATAAGGGACTATACTATTTAAAATGAGGTCAAAGGATAAACAAGGAAATGATTTTTTTTTTAAAGGAAATGGTAACCACTAGGAAAATGTAGAATCCTGGGTAGTAATAAAGAAGTACTTGGGCTGTCCCCAAGGCACAGGTCCTGATACTGTTCCACTCGCTGCGGTCTCCAGTCTCCACTGCAGGAGGTTGACATCCGTGGACTGCATTCAGGAGCTACAGTGTACCAGGGTGTTGCAGTGGCGGTTAAGTGTGAAGAATGACTCCAGGATAGAGCTCTTCTTTTTGACTGGGGTAACTGGTCAGTTTTACCAAGTGGGGCAAAAGGTGGTAGAACAGGGGTCCGTCCTAAAGGAAAACAAGAATTCAGTTTTTAACACGTGGATCGTCAGGAATCTGAAGGACACGCAGGTCGAAGTGTCCACTAGGGTGTTGTTTAGAGCCTACAGTTTTTCAGCAAGATCCGGGATAAAGATGTGGACTTGTGGCGTCACTTGCGTTCACTAGCGTGGATGAGACAGTGTGGAGTGGGAAATGACAAATGTAGAGAAGAACAAATATAACAGAGTGTGAAACCACTGGCAGCTTTTCCGATTTTCTCCCCTCTCAGCGTGGACCAGGGAACCGATACTTTGCAGTTCCCAAGAGGCTCAGGAAAGACCAGCACGCAAAGAGAGGCTTTCCGTTCAGGCTGCTAGAGGGCCAGTCGAAAAGGGCGCCTGGCTCTCCAGTTTCACTTTCCTGAGGTTCCGGACACCGGCCAGCCCCCCAGAACTCTCCACTGGCTCCCTCTACGACCAAGCCCCGCGGCTAGAGGCAGCCCTCTGACGTCATTACCGCGCGCCCTCCCCCGCCACCCTACACACACTGCTCCGACCACACCCCGCGGCCTCGGCGCTGCGCTTTTACGTCTGACCGCTCGCCCTCCCCCGCCTCCCCGACAAAGCCCGCCTCTAGGCGCTGTGCTTTTACGTCATCACAGCGCGCCCTCCCGCCTCTGGGTGTTCAAGCTCCGCGCGCGAGCCGAGCTTCAGGCCCACGAGCGGAATCCGCGCGCCCTGTGTCGCTTCTGCGTTCCGTCATGTTCCCGGCCGTCTCCTCTCCGCGGACACCGGGGCCCGGGACCCGAAGGGGCCCGCTGGGTGGAGTCGGGCCGGGCTCCACGCCCCGGGCGACTAGCAGGAAAGGTCTGTCCCTGGCGTCGGCAGTCAGCTCCCCGGTGCTCTTTTCGCCGGTCGGCCGGCGTAGCTCGCTGAGCTCGCGGTAAGTGATTGTCCCCGGTTCAGTCTGGTGACCGATAGGCTTACGTGCCTCAGCGGGCCTGATGGGATAGTGTCTCCAGAAGCCTCCGGAACCGGGGGCGGCGGGGAAGAATGCCAAGATTTGGGGGAAATAGATCCTCTCCATCTTTGCGGGTAGTTATTTAAGCCTAGCTTTAATTTATGGAGCCTTGACTTTGCACTTTTCATGGAATTAGCTTTGTGTAGAAGTGAACAAATTGGATTTCAGTCAGTGGTTACCCGCCTCCTTCTTACTACCCCTGTGTTCCCGTGTCAGTCTTGAGTCTTCACTTAAGGCCAAATGAATCAATATGAAATCCTTCGACGATGGTGGCAAGGAGCATCTCCAACCCAGGAAAACCGTATACTGCCTAACATAGTTATTGCCATTAATATCTGCCGATTAATAGTTAAGGGAGTTTTGGCCACACAAGTTCACTTTGTAGCTAAATTAATAGGTATAAGGCTTTCCATAGCAAGTGAGTTAAGAGTAGTTTTGTTAGCAAATAAAACCGTGGCACATCAGTCCACATCACTTGTTAAATCATGCTCCGCACCCACCCTTTCATATTTAATCTAGAACTTTAGAAGGTAACATGTTTCTGAATTGTTTCCTCTGAATTGGTCTACCAAAAAAGAACTTTGTTTTGCAAGAAAACATATTTTGAAAGTTCTCTTCAAAGTGGTGATCTTGTCAGTGTTTTCTACTCCTTTTGAAAAAAAGGGAATAAAACCTGTATTTAATGTGTGGTTTTTAAAATCTTTTCTTACTTTCTAGTGATTATTTAAAGAAAAATCTTTGTTATAACAGTATGTCAACAAAGCTCACTTAATCCTCATGATAAGAGAATAAATTTTATACTGGTAGCTTTACATTATTTTTTGAATGTTAATAAGGTGAGGAGATACAATTTCAACTGCTGTATCTGCTGTTGAAGAACAGGTAACAGCAGATACTCATGACTCTAATTTCTTGGTTGCACAAATCTGGGGGCACCTGAGTGGCTCAGTTCGTTAAGCGTCTGCCTTTGGCTCAGGTCATGATCCAGGGGTCCTGGGATGGAGTCCCATGTCAGGCTCCCTGCTTCTTCCTCTGCTTCTGCCTCTCTCTCTCTGTCTCTTAAGAATAAATAAATGAAATCTTAAAAAAAAAAAAAATCTGGTAGACTTCATAAAATTTGCCTGATGAGGGCAAAATGGGTGAAAGGGAGTGGGGGGTACAGGCAGCATAGGGAATATAATCAGTGATACTATAATAGGGTTGCATGGTGACAGACAGTAGCTGTGCTTCAGTCAGTTTTGTACATCTGAAACTAATGTAACATTATGTGTCGACTATACTTCAATTAAAAAAAAAAAGTTCCAGGGTTGGTGAGAGCTTAAAGATAATCTAACCCAGGGCGCCTGGGTGGCTCAGTCGTTAAGCCTCTGCCTTCGGCTCAGGTCATGGTCCCAGGGTCCTGGGATCAAGCCCCGCATCGGGCTCCCTGCTCAGCAGGGAGTCTGCTTCTCCCTCTCCCACTCCCCCTGCTTGTATTCCTGCTCTCACTGTCTCTCTCTGTCAAATAAAATCTTTAAAAAAAAAAAAGATAATCTAACCCAGTGTTTGTAAAGCTTTTTTGACCACAGTGTAGAATAACTCTAGATTATATTCTATTTTGTTTTTCAAAAATGTTGATTGAGACCCTCAAAATGACCCACAATTTGGAAAATACTGATCTAGTCCAACCTTCGTATTTCACAGCTAAGGAAGCAGTTATAAATAGTTTTGAATAGAGCATGCGTCTGATTCCTAGAGCATAAGAGTCAGAAGCCATTTTTCTAGATCCTGTCAGTCTTTTTTTTTTTTTAAACAAGTAATATATTAGTACACATGAACCAGAGTTGTTTTGTTTTTTTGTTTTTTTTTTTACTGTTACACCTCATCATTCTTCTTCATCAGAGATCTTCTCTTTATGTGAAAATATGTACCTTAAAATTAGGATAATGGAAAATTTTTTTTTTAAAGATTTTATTTATTTGACAGAGTACAAGCAAGGGGAGTGGCCGGCAGGGAGAGAGGGAGAAGCAGGCTCCCTGCTGAGCAGAGAGCCCGTTGTGGGACTTTATCCCAGGACCTGGGATCATGACCTGAGCCCAAGGCAGACGCTTAACCGACTGAGCCACCCAAGTGCCACAAGATAATGGAAAATTTTAAGTTATGGTTCAAGGAATGTGGTCTCTTTTCTTTAGAGGAACACCTACACGAATATTGCCACACCACTGTGTAACTGAGTCTATGAACTATGATGTGAAAACATTTGGATCTTCTCTTCCTGTTAAAATAATGGAAGCCTTGACATTGGCTGAAGGTGGGTGTCATTTTCCATTTGCCTCTGTTAGCAATTCAAAATGCAGCCTGGCTCTGGCTCAGATTGAAATTTGTGCTTTCTCTGATATACCTTCACTTAAATGGGGTAGAAACAGGTAATGTCTTTGGTTTTCACTGTAATTGAGAAATGTAATGAATTTGAGAAGCGGAATGAGTTTATTTTTAGCACAATCACATTACTTCTTTTATGGTTGTAAACACTGCATATGCAAAACTCGGTCTGATTTCAAAAGTTGATCGGGTGTATGAGTTTAGCTTTAAAAAAAACCAAAACACTGCCTCACATTATTGGGTGTGATAATGCAGTAAGGTCAAGTCTTACTACGTCTATTTCTGGATCCTGTGTAGTATCCCAGAGGTTATATGTACACATTTGTGTTATCAGTGTGGTGTATCTTTAGAAGATTCTGTTGGCCGAGAATTAGAGTCGAAGTTTGAAAGATGCAGTCACACAAGTGTTAGAAAGGCAGCAGTAAGGATGAGGGGTTGGGTGACTCGAAGAGCAAAGTTCAGAGCATCCTCAGTGATGTTCCTAAGGCATTATTTATGATACAGTTAGATTTTTGTGATTTTCTGGAACAGTGTTTTTCAAACTGCAGGTAGTAACTGATACCAGTTTGGTGGCTCATGGCCAGCACTTAAAAAATATCAGAGTGCATTTCATATAATGTTTGATAGCTTGTTTGTTTTATTTAAATTGTATGTGAATGCATCATGATATAAAATGTATTTCATACTGTGAATGACAATCAAAAAAGGTTAAAATACTCCATTCTAGAAAGGAATATTTCTCATCAACTTGAACTTGCCTATCTTCCCTATGAGTCCTTGAGAACTCAGGTACAATGGTTTTCAGACAACTAAACTTCCACTAACCTCTGTCATGCACTGTTTTTGTTTTATTTATTTATTTTTAAGATTTTTTATTTGCGAGAGAGAGAGGGAGAGCACACGCAAGAGAGAGCACGTGCATGAGCAGGGGGAGGGGCAGAGGGAGATGCAGACTTCCCACTGAGCAGGGTGCCTGATGCGGGACTTGATCCCAGGATCCTGGGATCATGACCTGAGCTGAAGGCAACCACTGAAGGTGACTGAGCCACCCAGGCGCCCTGCACTGTTTTTGTTTTAAATATATATATATTTTTCTTTACTCTTCTAAAAATTTCAGCTTAAATTATATTTAAACCTTTTAACATACTCCTGGTTCATGCCACCAGACTTTTAATAAATAGTACACAGCCTCAGAGGAGAGAGTCCCTAGAAATTAGGATGTTTAAACTGAGGGGTGTGTAAACTGGAAGAACTTTTCCCTATATGGAAACCTACCAAGTGCTGTTTGTTAAGTCAGAGACCTCAAGGGCTTACCAGTAGAGTATTTGGAGCCGCTTTATTGCTTTCAGGAAAAGAAAATATTGAGCAGATATGCTAATTCAGCAAAATGCCCACACTTAGCCTAGGCATGACTTAGTATTTTAGCTTGTACATTATTGATGCTTTTTATCTTGCTCTTCTTTAGGCAAAGAGCAGAGCTCAAATTAATTAAATTTCTAGGGCTAACACACTGAGGTTTACCACCAATGCTTACGACAGCAATATACTAATTTAGTTTTGTTAGTTAATATGGAATGTAACCCACGTGGTGTCTAGGTGGCTCATTCGGTTAAGTGGCCGACTCTTGGTTTTAGCTCAGGTCGTGGGATTGAGCTCTGTGTGGAACTCTGTGCTTAGTGAGGAGTCTGCTTGAGATTCTCTTCCTCTCCTCCCTCTGCCCCTCCCTTGTGCTCTCTCTCTCTTTCTAAAATAAATAAATAACTCTTTAAATAACTCTTTAAAAAATATGGAGTGTAACCCTTGACGTCTGCATATAGTGAAGTGATTTATCATACTTTTAAAGAAAGTATTTGAAAATCACATTATTTTGAAAGAACAGTTTTTCCTTGAAATTTTTAATATATTTAATGGGAGAGATCATTATTTGTGTTGCTGTATCAAAATAAAACTACAAGTGTTACTAAATATTTTAGAAAGTAAGATACCTGTTTATAACCAATATTAAAAGATACTAAACCTACGTCCAAAATATACTTTTTGCATTCAGATACATTTCTAAGTGTGGTTATCAAAGTTAAATGGATTTCTTGTTTTGGATATTTATAACTCTTGAATTACTCGAGAGCATTTTTGATGTGAATGAATCTTTTTTTATGTGGTAATTACTTTTTTATGTATATATATAGACAAACATATATAAAGAGTGTAGCTATAAAGATCTTGGTATAAGGAATTTTAAGGTTTTTTTTTCCTTTTTTTTAACAGTTTTTCTTATTAATGCTTTAAGTTTAATTATGTACTTTTTTTTAAGTTGATGATCAGCTGACTGTTCACATAGATGGAGGTGGATGGGCTTGTCTGGTCTGCAAAGAGAAACTCATTATTTGGAAGATTGCTCTGTCACCTATTACTAAGGTAATTGCTGTTTAGAAAGCTAGAAGGAGATAGAGGAGAGGATTACCAATTGGCTTTTAGTGTTTACCCTAAAGCTTTAGAGTTGTTAGAGGACAGTAATCTGAATCTACTCAAACATTATGGATTTGCATTTTTGTTATATGAAATACTGAGCATGCATATACATTGTTGTATTGGGGGGGAAAAGTTTCTCCCATTTAATAATTTTAAACTAGATCCATCTTATTTACATTTAATAACATTGGAGACTTCAAAATTTTTAATGAATGTTATAAATGTAATGTCAGTCTACCTAATGAAGTTTAAGGCTAAATGCCATCCACATAAGCTAATGAATTGAATTTATTTATTTCTAAGATAGGACTCTTTCACTAAATCGGCTGAATGATGCTTAATAGGGAAAAACAGGGGTATCTAGGTGACTCAGTCAGTTAAGCCGCCGACTCTTGATTTTGGCTCAAGTCATGATCTCGGGGTCCTGGGATTGAGCCCTGTGTCGGGCTCTGTGCTCAGGTGGGAGTCTGCTTCAGGATTCTCTTTCTCCCTCTTCCCTTCCCCTCTCACCAAATAAGTAAATAAGTCTTTTAAAAATAGGGGAAAAATGATACCAATTTTAGTAGTTACTAGTTTAACTTTCGGTTGTCAAGTTTCTCACATAGGATTATCATTTGTGTTTCCAAGAACTTACTGTCAGCAACCTAATTTTCCTGTGTGTTCCATATCAGGCATCCTTCCTTGCACCAATCACGGGTCTTTAGTTACTGGGCCATTGTTCTGTTGGAACTGGGGATTCGTGATTATCTGAACTCTTGACATCTGTGGCTTTTGTACTGCTGCTGCCTAGAACGTAGTATTTGTAGTTGAGAGCATAGGTGAGGAGATGTCCTGGGGCCGCGATGAGTTAGCAGAAGGAGCCTGACATCTGGGTGAGGCTAAGAAATATTTTCTGAACAACTTGGTATAATTAATTATTCTGTGGTCATTCTGATTTTAGATGTCAAATAAACGAATCAAGACTAGCCTGGGAAAATTCCATACATAGGTCTCTTAACCAGTAGACTTTTTTTAGTCCAGAAAGGTATTGGGCTAGTTGATATTCAGTGTCTGGTCTACCTCTTAAGTTTTCCTGATTCTGTATCTCTTAAGATATTTTATTTTGAAATTACTGAAAGCCCTGATGAAAGCCTGATCAAAAAGATGTGAGAAGAAAGAATATTTATAGAATGGTATTTCCAGCAGTGAATCAGAACCTGAAATATGCAGGGAAAGAAAATAGTGAAGTCAGGTGCATATTCAAAAAACTTGGATTTGAGGTGAAAGATTTTTTGTTTGGGTTTCTTCTTTAGTTATCTGTTTGCAAAGAACTTCAGCTGCCGCCTAGTGACTTCCACTGGAGTGCTGACTTGGTGGCTCTCTCTTATCCTGATACTGCAGGTGAAGCACATTCTACTCAGGTAGGTGACTTAAATGCTTATTTAAATATATATTTTTTTTAAATAAGGGAGTTGTAATATTAGAGGAATCATCCAACCTGATTCGGAGACATAACTGTAAAGCCACAGGAACCAAGACAGTAGTGTTGGCATATAGACACATAGAGTGTGCAGATACAGAGGTGGCCCTTTGATCTGCAACAGTGATTCAGTGGAGTAAGGATAGTCTCTTCAGTAAATGGTGTTGGGACCTTTGGTCATCCTTATGCAAAAAAAAAAAAAAAAAAAGGGAAGAAATAATTTCCCCCTAAACCTCCTACCTTATACAAAGATTAACTCAAAAGGGATCGTAGATTTAGATGTAAAACATAGAACTATAAATTTTTGGAAGAAAACAGGAGAAAATCATCATGACCTGGGGTTAGACATAGAGTTCTTGGAAATCACCAAAAGCATGATTCATAAAAGAAAAAAATAGATAAATTGGACTTTATCAAAATTAAAAACTTGGCTGTGTCAAAGACAGTGACAAGAATGAGACAAGCTACAAACTGGGAGAGAATATTCAGAAGCCATATCCTACAAAGAACTTGTATCTAGAACGTAAAATGAACTCTCAAAGCTTAATAAGAAAACAACCCAATTTAAAAACAGGGCACAGGACTTGAACAGATACTTTACCAAAGAAGATACAAGGTATTACAGAGATGTTCACATCATTAGCCCTTAGGGAGATGCAAATTGAAACAATAGTGAGATATCACAATATACCTATTACAATGGCTAAAATACAAAATACTAACACTACCACGTGCTGACAAGGATGTGGAGCAACTAGAACTCATACATTGCTGATGGGAATGCAAAATGGTACAGCTACTTGATTTTCGCTTTCCAATGAAGTTGAAAGACACTTGCCATTATGACCCAACAATTCCATTCCTGGCTGTTTACCTCATAGAAATTAAAACTTAAGTTTACACAAAAAACAGTATACGAATGTCATAACAGCTTTATTTGTGATAGCCAAAGGTGGAAATAACCCAAATGTCCTTTAACAAGTGAATGAATAAACAAACGGGTTTCATCCGCAGAATGGAATACTACTCAACAGTAAAAAGGAATGAACTCAATATAGCAACAACCCAGATGCATCTCAAAGACATGCTGAAGTGAGATAAACCAGTGCTTAAAGGTTACATTCTATATGATTTCATTTGCTTGACAGTCTCAGAAAGATGAAATTATAATGGTGGAAACTGGTTACCGGGGTTAAGATAGGGGAAAGATGTGATTATTAAGGGATAGTTAGCACTAGGGAGTTTGGGATGTGCTGTGTCCCTATATTGGTGGTAGTTACATGGGTCTATACAAGTGTTAAAATTAATAGAACTGCACAACAAAAGGGAAAGAAAGTCAATTTATAGTCTGATAATTTTTAAAATATAAAAAGGAGGGGTTTTGTCCCCCCTAATTTCTGTTAAATAATAAATTCCCCTAGTTTCTTTTTATCAGTGTCACCAGACTCCCAGTTTCAGGGTCCTTTTTACTGTGATTGCCAAGTGTTAATGATCTTGTTTCAAGGCTGTTGCTGTCATGGTTGCCACCAGAGAAGGATCCATCCGCTATTGGCCAAGCCTTGCCGGTGAAGATATCTACACAGAGACCTTTGTAGATTTGGGAGGTGATAAGACTTACAGTTTCCTAACAGCAGTGCAGGTATATAATGGGTTTTCTTTCATATTTATTGGGAAGCTGTGATTTGCTTGGGAGTGATATGTGAATGACTAAAAATTGTTTTGGATAGACCATACAGGCCAGAGGGGGATCAAAAAGAGGCAAGAGAAGAAGGTAAGGGTCTAGGAGTTGAACAGTTGGACAAAGGAAAGCCCTTCTAGGACTCTGAAATACCAATATTAGATCGTAGCCCATGGTATTCATTTCTTTCAGAAACATTTTCTGACAGTGACTTAGACCCTTAGACATTATGAAAAATGGCTTGCTAATGCACTCTTCGCAAGTTTACCAAAGAACAAAATGTGATACTTGATTTGTTGAACCTGCAGTGTGGTGAACCTATAGTTTAAAAATCAGAATTAAAAAAAAAACCACTCAATTAAAAAAACAACCAGTTTCTCTATGTAGAATTAATAGTATCATGTAATAGTATTCATAAGTAAATCATTTTAGTAAAATGACACTTTCTTTTTTTATTCTTTTAGATTTGTTTTAAGGTACAGATGATAGATGATTTGTTTCTGTATCAAAGCATTTTGTGTTAATGTTCTTAGTTATAGATGCATAACTTATTTACAATATTTGTTCATAGGGAGGAAGTTTTATTTTGTCCTCATCGGGAAGCCAGCTGGTTCGGCTGATACCTGATAGTTTAGGAAAAATTCATCAACACATTCTGCCTCAAGGACAAGGCATGCTTTCAGGAATTGGTCGGAAGGTCTCTTCTCTTTTGGGAATTTTATCTCCAAGTAGTGATCTCATCGTAAGTTGATAAAATGATTTTTGTTTTACAAGCTTGTTTCTTCATGAAATCAATAAGTTGGAAGTTTCCTACGAAGTTGGTATTGCCTCTGTATGAACACTAGCGTATATGAAGTAAAACTTTTGATCTTTTCAGTGAAGCATTTTTATCGTGATCAAATGAATTCATACTAACCCTCTCACAAACCCTGTAACTTTAATATTCTTAAATCATACACATTCTCTTATATGTACATTCTTTGCATTAAAACTGTTATATAAAATTACAAATGTGTTTAAGGACCAGTTTTGCTTTTTGACTTAACCAGAAATGTGTTCTCCACTCCCATGACTCCGGCTATTTGTGTGGATGACTCAAATCTAGATCTGTCAGCTGGGCTTCTGCCTCAGGCTCTGGAATAGTGAAGGGAGGCAGATGGGATTGAACCTGGAGCATCTCCTCTCTGCTAGGGGCTCTATATTTGTTATCTCGAGTAATATGATGACCTGTAACGTAGAGTGCTTTCTCCTCAGTTTGCAGATGAGGAAATAACCTCAGTGACATTTACGTAAACTGCCTGAGGTTGCACAACTACTCCATGGCAGATATGTGCCCAGGCTTCTTTGATTGAAAGCACATTTTCTTCTCACTGTGCTGTTTCCTCCTCCTTTTTTTTTTTTTTAAGATTTTATTTATTTATTTGACAGAGAGAGATAGAGAGCCTGAACACAAGCAGGGGGAGTGGGAGAGGGAGAAGCAGACTCCCAACTGAGCAGGGAGCCCGATGCGGGGCTCGATCCCAGGACCCTGGGACCATGACCTGAGCTGAAGGCAGAAGCTAAACAACTGAGCCACCCAGGCGCCCCTGTGCTATTTCCTTCTAATTGAGGTTGCTCTCATCATCTGCTTTCTTGATGGTCTTCGAACCTTACGACCTAACATGTCTGAAAACAAATTGCTCATATTCCCTCTTCTCTCACATTTTCTACACCAAAAGTGTGTATAAAACTTGTTTCTCTTTTGGCCTGTTTATTTCTGTTCATGACCTGTCACTTTTTTCAGTGACCCCGGTATAAACTCTTCATTGTGTGTGTGTGTGTGTGTGTGTGTCTCCCCTGCTATAGCAAATTCCGTACTTATCAGGTACTATAGATTTGACTTCTGTCATGTCTCATTTTCATCCCTATCTTTTACTTCCATTGTTATGCCCTGATCTGCACTCTTGGTAAATTTCCCCTAAGCTCTTGGTGCCAGTTCAGTTTACTCTCTGTTGCCTCCCTTATCCCATTAGTGGCCAGAAACATGGTGACGGGAGAAATGGAGAAAATTAGGGCTTTAAGTCAAAACAGTTGTGTGCCCAACTAAAAACATAACTGTTCTTCATAACCAAGTATATACTTGAAAAGGTGAAATAATCTGTCTACAAACTTGCCACTTTTGTTTTCCTATAACACAGCTCTTAAGTTCAAAAGCCATTGATAATATCTTGTTTACTAGGTTTACAAACTCACATTCAGGACTCTGCTGTGTGTCCCTAATTTTTCATTTGAGCATTATTTCTACTTTTCTAGTTATAGTCTACATTCCAATGTAACAGGACTACTTGTTCTCTGAAAGACCTTATAACTTTCCCACAACTGTACTCTTTGTGGGCTGTCTGCTTTTGTATTTCTGCCTATGGAAATCTTACCTTGCCTTCAAGGTCCATTTTAGGATCGCTCCTTTCTTTGAATACTAAACAAAGAATTCTGCTAGGATTACTAATGGAATACTTATAAAATATGTAAAATTTGAGTTTCAGAAAAGTAGTTCATTCACATTAGAACTTAAAAATCTATAAACATAACTTTTTTCATCTCTCCTCTCCATACAGCTTTCAAGTGTCCTCTGGGATAGAGAGAGAGCAAGCTTTTATAGCCTGACAAGTTCAAACATCAGTAAATGGGAATTAGATGATTCTTCAGAAAAACAAGCACATAGTTGGGATATAAATAGAGCCCTGAAGGAAAACATTACTGATGCTATTTGGGTAAGGAAAAATCATACTCATCTTTGTAATTCACATTTTTGAGTATATGAGAATGCTAGTTTCTTTAATTGTTTTATTTATTAGAACACATTTCAATGCAGTGTAGCTTTTAGCGATCAGATAAGCAGAAATAGGGCGTTCAACCCCTAGAAATATTGGAGCTCACTGATTTACTTGGTAGTTTTTAAAATGCACATATTATTTATTCAATAACTATTTGAACTGTTTAGTAGGTGCTGGGAATACAAAGGTGAAAAGAAATGATCCTTACACTCATGGACCTTATGTTATTGATATTTTCATATAGGGATCTGAAAGTAACTATGAAGCTATTAAAGAAGGGGTCAATATTCGGTATTTGGATTTGAAGCAAAACTGGTAAGCGATTAGTTTGTCATCAAGAATATAGGTAGTTGTTTGGATAAATAATGTTTATTGTAAAATGATGAGCAACCTTGCTATCTGTTCTTCTAATGCTATTCTCATCATACTTTTATACCTTACTAAATGGTTTTGTGTCCTTTTCTAGAGATGCTGGTTCATTTGAGAAATATAGGCAGTTCTCAGCTTTCAGCTGCATATTCTTATATTAGTTGTCTGCCCTAGTTTGAGACTCATCTTTCCTGCTCTCATGGCTGGAGGTTTTCTTTCTTCACGCTGAGAGATGCACTCCCTGCTGCTGTGTGTACTCCATGCTGCCATCCTTCTCTTCTCAGTGGAGATACCAGACATACTTCTCCAGCCCTTTGGCTTTACTAAGCCTATGTTTGTGGTGATATTGAAGAAAGGAAGGTAGGGTGAGGTTTTGTCTTGGCAGTACAAGTGAGAACTCACTCAGGGTTTGTATTCACTGTGAATTTCCTTTTAGAGACAATGCTCTAAGTGGCGCTTAAGATCCTAGGTTAGTCTGATAAAGTTAATTTATCCTGTGTGATTATTTAGTTTTAATACCAAAGGTCATATGGAACTTAAAAACCATTTGTAACATGGCTTCCATGAGAAAGTTCATAATGAGTACAAATATATGACTTGTCATTCTTCAAAACACAACTTACCAGAAGTTAAGAGCAATTTTTATGTGTTTTAGAGTAATTGAGTTTATTTAGTAGAACAAATTCTACTTGTTTTTTGGAAGGATATTGCAGGTCTGTATAATTTTTCTTAGGCTCTTGAGAAAGTAAGATCCTTCTTTATAGTTTCTGAAAACCTTATAGAAACTATCAAAGAGGTAAAAATAATATATATTTAATTTGTTTTCATGTATCTTTACCAGACTTTCAGAAATTTAGAACTGCTGCTAGGACACAGCGCACGTGGGCATATGATGCAGACATTTTCACATAGTTTTCAGAATGGAGATGTGGACTGAAAACAGAAGAGAAACGTGCTTAAGAATTGCTGGACTGGGTCAGAGACCAGGCTCCTCTCCCCCACTGTCGTCATGCTAACAAGATGCTTGTGGGGCTTGAGACACAGCTCTTGTTCTCCTAGTGATCCATACAGAGTGTCCGTATCTGCATACCTTTCTTCTATTTAAGAATAGTGTTTGTCTTCCTCATGCTCACTGATGCTCCTTGATCTTTTGCTCGTTTTGGCCGGGTATGCAACCTAGGCATATATTTTCAGAGAATAGGCTTATAAATTCTTTTACTAGATTATTACTGACACAGAGCTCAGATAGCCTCATTTTAGATGTGAAATTGGATTTTTTAAGTCTTAAGTGTATTATCTTGTATATACTCATGTAAAAATTTATTGTTAAATTTTTACTGATTTGCAAAATTTAGATTATCTACCTGTCATCTCTGCTACCTAAAATTGCTTCATGTTTTTTTTTTTAAATGTGAAGATGTTTTTATAAAGATGTCAAAAAGAACTGGTCTAGCACCACTCTAAGGAATTCTTTTAGACATGTCTCCATGAGTCAGTGGCACTCCAGTGATACAGTCTTTAGAGTAACTTCAATACAGAGCCTTATCCTAGGTATAGCCAACTCTGCCTCCCTCCTTGGTACATTCAGGACCACATTATCTGGGACCTCACTCGGTTTCTTTTTTTGTTTGTCTTTGTCTTTTTGGCTGTACTTTTCATCTCTGACCTGTTTATTTTGTAACTGGAAATTTGCACCTGATAATCCCCTTTATCTATTTTGCCTATCCCCTCAGCCATCTTCCTTCTGGCAACTAAGAGTCTTTTGTTTTTCTGTTTGTTCATTTGTTTTGTTTTTAAGAGTCCACATATAAGGGAAGTCATATGGTATTTGTCTTTCTGTGTCTGATTTATTTCACTTAGCATAATACCCTCTGGTTCCATCCGTGTTGTCACAAATGGTAAAAATCTCATTCTTTTTTATGGCTGAGTAATATTCCATCGTGAGTGTGAGTGTGTGCGTGTGCGTGTGTGTGTAATATCTTCTTTATCCATTCATTTCGTTGATGAGCACTGGGGTTGCTTCCATGTCTCAGCTGTTATAAATAATGCTGCAATAAACATAGGGGTGCATATATATTTTCAAATTAGTGTTTTTGTTTTCTTTGGATAAATACCCAGTAGTGGAATTATTGGATCATCTGGTATTTCAGTTTTTAAGTTTTTGAGAAACCTCCATACTGTTTTCCACAGTGGCTTCACCAGTTTGCATTCCCACCAACACAATGTGAGGGCTCCTTTTTTCTCCACATCCTCACCAGCACTTGTTAATTCTTGTCCTTTTTATTTTAGCCATTCTGATAGGTGTGAGGTGATATCTCATTGTGGTTTTGATTTGTATTTCCCTGATGAATACTGATGTTGAGCATCTTTTCACATGTCTGTTAGCCATCTCTATGTCTTTAGAAAAACATTTATTCATGGCCTCTGTCTATTTTTAAATTGGGTTGTTTGGGGGTTTTTTGGTGGTGTTGTGTAACTTCTTTACGTATTTTAGATACTAACCACTTATCAGATATATCATTTTTGAAATTCCATTCAGTAGGTTTCCTTTTTGTTTTGTTGATAGTTTCCTTTACTGTGCAAAAGCTTTTTATTTTGGTGTAGCTGCAAGAGTTTGATTTTGCTTTTGCTTGCCTGTGGAGACATATCCATAAATAATGTTGTTAAGGCTGATGTCCAAGAGATTACTGCCTGTGTTTGCTTTTAGGAGTTTTATGGTTTCAGATCTCACATTTAGGTCTTTAATCTATTAGTTCCTTTTTATGCAAAACATTCTTCTATATCCTATATTAGCTCTTTAGGTCACTGCCAATATGTTACAAGTTTGGGCCAGTATTTTTGGATTCCTTTCAAGAGTCCAAATAGAAATGATAAGAGTCCAGGAGCTGGGTGAAGATCACAGGGGAAAAAGAAATGAGAGCCATGTTAGGATTGCTTGATTTGGAGTGATGTCATTTAATCACTAGCTGGGTTTCATTTTTTTTTTTTTTCTTCTGTTTCTTGTTTTTAGTTGTCAGTAGAGGGCGCTTGCCCCCCGTTAATATTTCTGAGACTTGAATGAAAGTTGCTGATAATAAATCCTACTGAATGTTTTGGAGGGGTTGAGATTAGAGACCATTTAATTCTTTGTTGAGGGCAACAGTTTTGTTTTTTTTTTAAGATTTTATTTATTTGACAGAGACCCAGTGAGAGAGGGAACACAAGCAGGGGGAGTAGGAGAGGGAGAAGCAGGCTTCCCGTGGAGCAGGGAGCCCGATGTGGGGCTCGATCCCAGGACCCTGGGACCATGACCAGAGCCGAAGGCAGATGCTTAACGACTGAGCCACCCAGGCGCCCCGAGGGCACCAATTTTGATAGACTTAAGAGAAACATATAAGCTTTAAGATAGAAAAAGGTTTGTTTTCACATTGAAGTTTCTATAACTGTTTGTTAAAATTAGAAACAAAGTGTTCCTCCGGACCAGAGTAAGCTTTAAAGAACAGATTAGGCCAGGGTTTGGCAGCCTTTTCTTTGAAGGGCCCCAAACTGACACTTTTAGGCTTTGAGGGCATGTGGTCTTCACTGCAGCTATTCTACTCTTATCAGTAATAGCATGAAAGCATCCATGGATAATACAGAAATGAGTGGGCATGGCTGTATTCCAGTAAAGCTTCATTTATAAAAACTCACTTGGGCACAGTTTGGCTTGAGGGCTATGCTTTGCCGGTCCTGCATTTGATGATTTGTTGATTTTTTTAAAAGTCAGATTTATTGAGCTGTATTTTATATACAGTAAAATTCACCTGTTTTAGTGTATAATTTAGTGAATTGACAAATGCAGACTCATTTGACTGTAAGACACAATGACGATATGGAATAGTTCCATCACCCCCAAAATTTCCTCATGTCCCTTTGTAATCAAACCCCCCTTCACTTTCAAGCCCTGGCAACTATTGATGTGTTTTCAGTCCCTGTAGTTAAACTACATTGCCTTTTTCTGAATGCCCTATAAATGGGATCATATAGTATAAAGCCTTTCGAGACTGGCTTCTTTCACTTAGCATAATGCATTTGATGTGCATTCAATAGTTTCTTCATTTTTACTGCTGAGTAGTGGCACACTCTGTAGAATTACCAGAGCTTGGGGTGCCTGGACGGCTGAGTCGGTTAAATGTCCTGACTCTTGATTTCGCTCAGATCATGATCTCAGGGTCAAGGGATTGAGCCCCGCATTGGGCTCCATGCTCAGCTCAGAGTCTCCTTGGGATTCTGTCTCTCCTTCTGCCCCTCTCCCCACTTGTACTCTCTTCTCTCAAATAAAATCTTAAAAAAAGAAAATTACCAGGATTTATCTATTCAGCAGTTGAAGGATATTGGGCTTCCAGTTTTAGGTAATTATGAATAAAGCCACTATAGCTGTTTGCACACAGGTTTTTGTGTGAATGTAAGTTTTTATTTTTAAATATCTTGGAGTGGGATTGCTAGGTCATATGGTTAGTATCTGTTTATAAGAAACTGACAGACTGATTTCCAAGAGGCTGCAGATCTTTCTTTTTCATTGATTAGTGATGGGCTCCTGATTTTGGCAGCCGCATGGCACCCAGCAGACAATCCATGTCTCATCTATTACTCTCTGATAACAGTAGAAGATAATGGCCACCAAATGTCTGATGCGGTAACTGTAGAAGTCACTCAGTATAATCCACCTTTTCAGGTAAGATTTCTATCTGTAAATTAAATTAAAAATGACAGTAACGTACTGAATTGTTTGTACTAACCGTTGTAGGGTCAGGTTCTTTTGAGAGATTCACCTGGAGGGCTTGGAAATATTTTTAAATAGCTGGTTTTTAGGCATTGCATTTTGTTTGCCATTTTAGAATCATTCTTTTGCACAGCCTTAGCTAAAGACAGATGAGAGTGGAAGCAGCTGATAGCAAGCAATCGTTTAATATTGTAAATATTGTTGAATAATGATGATATTCATAAGGAAAAGGCTTAACTGTAAATTCATTTCATTTAGCCTTATATAGTATAGTATCTAATTTTGTTAAGTCTTTATTCTTAATATGACTGTAACTAAATACTGTAAGGAAGTCGTTTAATTTGTCCTTTTGTTTCAGACAAACCTTATAGTTCTGATTATTCAAGAAAAACATGCTTAGTGTTAAGATTTTTCAGGCAATGCAAAAGAGGGGTAAAGAAATAAAATTACTTCTTTAATAACAAACAGTATATATTTTTAACATTTGCTGATTTCATTTAATTAGGTTGTATTTCTATTTGTGCTTCTGATTTTATATATAAACAAATTAACTCAATTTTCTTGTACTTGATATCTTCACAGGGAAGTTAGAACCAAAATGTTCACCACGGGTCACTTATAAAGTATTTGCCAATTTTAAATCAATAATAAATTAATCTTTTTGTTTTCTCACATTTGTTATAGGCTTTTAGTTAAAATCTTACCACCATGGAATTTTCAAAATTTGCTGATTGTTTACAACTCGACAAATGATTTCTCTTAATTGATGTTTGTAAACTTAACCTGTCATATTTTGTAAATCATCTAGTGTTTAGGTTTTGACAAGGACAATCTGAATTATTTTATCATTTTTATGAGATAGTGTATAAAATTATAAATTACAAAATTACACAAACAAGTATTTTTGTTTTAATTACCATTAAATGTAATCTGACGTTTTTCAGTCTGAAGACCTGATTATGTGTCGGTTAATGGTCCCAAACTTTTCAAATCAGACTGCCTATCTGTATACTGAAAGTGCTGTCTATGTGTGCGCCACAGGAACTGGGAAGTTTTCTCTTCCTCGGGAGAAAATTGTCTTTAACACACAAGGTACAGTATCAGTTTCAGAAAGGATGATTAATGACTCATTAGTCATTCGTAGCAGTTTTTATTCTCTTTCTGTAAGTGGTGTTTTCAGCATGCCTCCAGGTGTTATTGAGACAGTACCAGAGCAGTAGTAGCTGAAGTCACAACCCTACTGAAATATCAAAAGGGTAGTAAAATTCCCAAACTGTTACATTTATGGGCAAAAAAATAGTAATGTTTTCCCCCATAAGAGGCCAGGAAGCAAAACTCTGACACAAAGAAAAGTAATTGCTTATTCCTGGTTAGGTTAATTTATTCTGAGATGATGTTCCTTAAGTAAGTTTGTCCAGACCCCTGGCTAAGAAGAATCCCAGGTGCTGGACTCATGCAAAGGGGCTGGAATGACGGTAGAGAGTGGGGGGCGCCAGCCAGGAGTGAAAAAGAAGCCAGGCAGGCAGTTTAATCAGGATTTTTATCTAAAGAGATTGGGCAGAGGGCAAAATCCAACTGAGGCAACAGGATGGAACCTAGATTTTCTAGTTTCAACGCAAGAGCCTTGACTTTGGGTAGGGAGAATGTTAATAAGGAATTGAGCAAGCTGAGACACTTCCCTTCTCCATTGACCTACTTAATAAATAAAGATAGAAAGAGGGCAAGAGGACTCCACTGGATTGATAAAGCTGTCATTCTGAGTTTTGCAGAATGAATAATTTCCTTTTTTGGTTTATTATACTCACTGCTATTTGGAAGGCTAGTTTTTATTGTCCCCAAACTGAAGGACACAGAGCCTGCTATTTCAAGTAGCAACAGGTTCCTGACATTTGACCTGGAATTAAAAAGCTGAGTTCAAAGTAGGAGGAATATTGTAAAGGGAAAAAAAAAAGTTCTTAGTGTATCAAGATGATTCTCTGCTTAGGGCAGTAGATTTTAGAAAGCATGTTTTTGTTATGTATGTCTGTGTATTTTTCTTTCTTTTAGGAGATAGTATTTTAGGAGCTGGTTCCTGCGGTGGTTTTCCTATCCTTTTTTCGAGAAACAGTGGGTTGGTGTCTATTACTTCAAGGGAAGGTGTGTCCATATTAGCAGAAGATCTTGAAGATTCCCTAGCATCTTCAGTTGCTGGACCCAGCAATGAGGTAATGTGGTTCCATAAAATTTTAAGATTTTTATCAGGGTATTTCCCACAAATGTTTTAGTTTAACAGTTTTAAAAGAGTTGTGATGAAAACATAGTTCTTTTACCTCCCTCATCTCCTTTGTCCTCCTTTCCAGAAGTAGCTTCTTTTAAGTCTTTTAGCTGTTTCTGCTGCTATTTTTTTCCATATATAAGTAATATCATGTGTTGCCATCTCTTAATTCACCAATATTAGACATCTGTTGATTTCCTATTACAGAAGGTAAGGATTTAGGGTAACTTCTAGCCCTTCCTCTGCCTTTATCATCCCAATATAAATTTTTTTCCTTTAATGACAGTGTGAATATTACTTATGGTTCACTGAGTCAAGTAATATGTTGATTACATTTCCTTCATTACTCAGCTTTATGTGACTCTTGGAGTGTTTAATGGACTAATTTTATATTTGCTTTCACTCTTCTTTAATATCTGGCCCAACTTCTCACAGCCTCCAGGAGCTCTTTAAATGCCCGTCAGTATGGTTTTCCCCATAGTCAAATCTCTAGAAACTCTGCGTCTACCGTCATTTTGGAACTTTCCTTTTCATAGTCCACAAATCCCCACCAGGACCTGTCCCTGCTCCACACACACCAGTTTGCTTGTCTCCTCTCTACTCTGTTCTCTGCCAATTCTTCTGGTTTCCATCTTCATGTGTTGTAGCTGGAAGCAAAGGTGTTCAGGTGGTTGCACTTCTTGCTATTGTGGGATGATTTTGACAGGGAGAGTGGGAAAAAAAAACATTTTTTTTTTCTCTCACCTTGAAACATGAAATGCCCTGATCTGGAGATTTGTATCATTCTCTTATAGGAGACTAAAAATAATATCATTTGGGGCGCCTGGGTGGCTCAGTTGGTTAAGCGACTGCCTTCGGCTCAGGTCATGATCCTGGAGTCCCGGGATCGAGTCCCACATTGGGCTTCCTGCTCAGCAGGGAGTCTGCTTCTCCCTCTGACCCTCTTCCTTCTCGTGCTCTCTATCTCTCATTCTCTCTCTCTCTCAAATAAATAAATAAAATCTTTAAAAAAAAAATAAATAAATAAAAATAATATCATTTGGGGTAATTTACACTTGAATAGAATGTGAACTATATAGACTATTTTTATAATTCAAAATTAAAATGATAGTTTCAACAGAAAGTAACAATGTTTTTTACTTTTATTCCTTTGTAGTCATGTGATTTTTATAATATCGCCTTATGTTCTGAAGCTACGTTAGAGTATTCTGCTTCTTTAAAATTTTTTCTAAATCCTTGTTTGAGCTTGAAATCAACCATTATTCTTAGTAATACACAATGAAATGAATTGTGTAAGAGCAAACCTATAAAAGGTTGTATGGGTTATGAAGAAACCCCCAGATAATTTTACTCAAAATATAATCCCTGAATTATATATATCTTTTTAAAAAAAATTGTATGTTGATCCATATTATTTATTTTTATTTATTTTTTTATTCTAGTGTAGTTAACATACAGTGTTATACTAGTTTCAGGTATATAATATAGTGATTCAATAATTGTATAAATTACTTAGTGCTCATTATGATAAATGTACTCTTAATCCCCTTCACCTATTTCACCCATCCCCCACTCACCTCCCCCCTCTGGTGACCACCAGTTTTTTCTCTGTAGTTAAGAGTCTGTTTTTTACTTTGTCTCTTTTTTTTCTTTGTTTACTTTGTTTCCTAAATTCCACATATGAGGGGTGCCTGGGTGGCTCAGTCGTTAAGCGTCTGCCTTCAGCTCAGGTCATAAATCCAGGGTCCTGGGATCGAGCCCCGCATTGGGCTCCCTGCTCGGTGGAAAGTCTGCTTCTCCCTCTCCCACTGCCCCTGCTTGTGTTCCGAACCTCTCTTGCCATTGTCTCTGTCAAATAAATAAATAAAAATCTTTTTTAAAAAATAAATAAATTCCACATATGAGTGAAATCATATGGTATTTGTCTTTCTCTGACCAACTTATTTCACTTAGCCTTTACTCTCTAGATCCTTCCATTTTGTTGCAAATGGCAAACTTTATGGCTGAGTAATATTCCATTGTATGTATATATCACATCTTCTTTATCCATTTATCTGTTGATGGACACTTGGGCTGCTTCCATAATCTAGCTATTGTAAATAGTGCTGTAATAACCATAGGGGTTCATAATATATTTTTGAATTAGTGTTTTTGTATTCTTTGGGTAAATACCCAGTAGTGGAATTACTAGATCATATGATAGTTCTGTTTTTAATTTTTTGGGCAATCTCCATACTGTTTTCCACAGTGGCTGCACCAGTTTACCTTCTCACCAAAAGTGTACAATGGTTCCTTTTTCATCCACATCCTCACCAACACTTAACTGTTTCTTCTGTTTTTGACTTTAGCCTTTTTGACAGGTGTGAGGTAATACCTCATTGTGGTTTTGATTTGCATTTCCCTGATGAGTGATTTTGAGCATTTTTTCATGTGTTGGCCATCTGGATGTCTTCTTTGGAGAAATGTCTGTTCATGTCTTCTCATTTTTTAATTGGGTTATTTGTCTTTTGGGTGTTGAGTTCTATCAGTTCTTTATATATTTTGGATACTAACCTTTTATCAGATATGTCATTTACAATGAGATTCAGTAGGTTGTCCTTTAGCTTTGTTTCATTTATTTTGCAAAAGCTTTTTATTTTGATATAGTCCCAATAGTTTGTTTTTGCTTTGGTTTCCTTGGCCTTAGGAGACATATCTAGAAAAATGTTGCTGCAGCCAATGTCAGAGAAATTACTGCATTTGCTCTCTTCTAGGATTATTATGGTTTCAGTTCTCACATTTAGGTCCTTTTTTTTTTTTTAAAGATTTTTTTTATTTATTTGACAGACAGCGAGAGCAGGAACACAAGCAGGGGGAGTGGGAGAGGGAGAAGCAGGCTTCCCGCTGAGCAGGGAGCCCGATGCGGGACCGATCCCAGGACCGTGGGATCATGACCTGAGCCGAAGGCAGATGCTTAAGACTGAGCCACCCAGGCGCCCTCACATTTAGGTCCTTAATCACATTTTGAGTTTATTTTTATGTATAGTGTAAGAAAGTGGTCCAGTTTCATTTTGCATGTAGCTGTCCAGTTTTCCCAACACCATTTGTTGAAGAGATGGTCTTTTTTCCACTGCATATTCTTGCCTCCTTTGTTAAAGATTAATTGATCATATAATTGTGAGTTTATTTCTGGGCTCTGTAATCTGTTCCATTGATCTGTGTGTTTTCATGCCAGTACCATACTGTTTTGATTACTACAGCTTTGTAGTATAACTTGGTATCCGGGATTGTGATACCTCCTCCAGTTTTTTATTTTTCAGGATTCCTGTGGTTATATATACTTTTTTGATAAGACTTTAGTCGATCATTTCGTCCATTTTATCTTGTTTCAGTAAACGTCTTAAGTAAACTGCTGGTATATGAAGAACATGGTAAATAGCTTATGTGTCTGTGTTGTTGCTGTCATAGGTGGGTCCGGTTTTTAGTCCAACAATTCGGTATATTCTGATACCTTCACCTCTAAATTACAGTTTTTTATTTGACAGAGTATGGTTTTTGAGGCTTCTACAAAGAATGAAACCATTGCCCAGGAGGATAAAACCAAATTGTTAAAAGCTGCTTTTCTGCAATACTGCAGGTATGAAAAGTTTTTTTTTTTTTTAAAGATTTTATTTATTTATTAGAGAGAGAGAGAGAGAAACAGCATGAGAGGGGAGAGGATCAGAGGGAGAAGCAGGCTCCCTGCTGAGCCGGGAGCCTGATGTGGGACTCGATCCCAGGACTCCGGGATCATGACCTGAGCCGAAGGCAGTTGCTTAACCAACTGAGCCACCCAGGCACCCGGTATGAAAAGTTTTTAAATGATGGCTTAATTTATTTTATGTCTGAGGACCTTTTACTGATGTATGCTACTTATTTGTTGACTGGTGGGAGCAAGGTGGAGGAATGATGCCACCAAAGAGAAAATGTTTTTCTGAGCTTCTCAGTGCTTTAACAAACTTATTCTGAACTTGGTAGCCACAAGAGGCTTCCAGTTAGTCTAGGAAAAACATGATGTAACATACCCTCTCCACTTAATGGATAACAATGTGCTATTAAAAATAGTGATCATGAAAGACATCTAGCAAGCATGTTTTATGTATACTGTGAAGGCAAATGAGTTGCATACAAAGGTTTATTGATGTTATAAAGAAATTAGACTTGGCCTATTCATTGGGTTTTATTGCATACAAAATCACCAGAGAACATAGTGGCTTGTTTAATACAGCTCATGATTCTGCCATCTGGCTATTTGGGGTTGGGCTCAGGTGGCCATTTTATGGTTCCCATTTGGATTCACTGTCCATGATCAGCTGCCAGCCATCCCGGCTAGACTTGCTCACATTTTGGGGGCTCTCGTCATTTCTTTGCTCATGTGCCCTCTCATCATCTAGCAGGTTTACATATCTCAGAGTTCCAGGAGTGGCAAGAGAGTAAGCCTCAGTGTACAAGTGCTTTTCATATCTCTGCTTGGGTCATATTTGCCAATATCCCATTGGCCATAGCAAGTCACAGGGGCGAGCCCTCCCTCCCCCTCCATGGGAGGGTGCTGCTAGGGAGTGTGCATATGGAAGGGGAATGATACTCAGTTTGCCACACTTGCTGACCCGATACTTCTGGTTTTAAAGCCAATTCAGTCATTTGTTTGTCCTAGACATTTATTCTGCATATCCTGTACCTTCCTTAAAAGGTATAGTAAATTCACATTTGAATGAACACTAAGGAAAATTGAGATCTAGCCTTTGCTCTGCCCCAAGTAGTTGTGTGAGACTTTGGACAGATTGCTTAACATTCCTGGAATTTTGTTTCTTCCTTTGTGAAGTGTTGAGTGGGGTGTCCGTTGGACTGTCTGAAGGATCATTAGTTTATCTGGCAGATCTTTGTTTTAAAGTTATATTCAGAGTTTACTACCTCCATATCGCCCAGTTCTCAGCTTGTGATCCCATAGTCTCACTCATACTGGTTTTTGATGCATAGGAGCTCACTCCCACAGAAGGGATAGCAAGTAAAGTTTTACAATTCTGTGCCATCAGGGCACCTGAATGGCTCTGTCGGTTAAGTGTCTGCCTTTGGCTCAGGGCATGATCCCAGGGTCCTGCAAATGAGCCCCACATCAGACTCCCTGCTCACCGGGGAGTCTGCTTCTCCCTCTCCCTCTACTCCTCCCCCTGCTTGTGCACTCTCTCTCTCTTTCAAATAAATAAATTCTTAAAAAACACACACACAGTTCTGTGCCATCATAATGATCTACTGAGCTTAGTTTCTCATCCAGAAGAGGGCACCATTAGACAATTTTTTTGATTCTGTTTTTAAAATATATTCTTTTAGGGGCGCATGGGTGGTTCAGTCGTTAAGCGACTGCCTTCGGCTCAGGTCATGATCCCAGGGTCCTGGGATTGAGCCCCACATCAGGCTCCCTGCTCCGCGGGAGACCTGCTTCTCCCTCTCCCACCCCCCCTGCTTGTGTTCCCTCTTCGCCATATCTCTCTCTGTCAAATAAATAAAATCTTTAAAAAATATATATATATATATGCTTTTAATTTTGCTCTATTGCATGGTGTTCAGTCTTACTGCCAAGATTTGGATTAAAATACTATGATCCTGTCTTGCGCAAGTTGGTCCCTTAACAATTTTGACAGACCTGTGGCATCTCAAAATTTAAATGATAATGGAGCAAGTTACTGTAGTCCTTATATTAGTTTCCTGTGGCTGCTGTAACAAATCACTACAAACAGGGTGACCTCATAGAACTTTATTCTGTCACAGTTCTGGAGTCCTGAAATCCAAAATCAAGGTATCAGCAGGGCCATGCTTCCTCTGAAGGCTCTAGGGAAGAATCTTTGCTTGCTTCTCTCCTAGCTTCTGGTGGTTGCTGGCAATCATCAGCATTCCTTAGCTTGCACTTGGATCACTCCAGTGGTCTCCCTTACCACATGGCCTTCTTCCCTGTGTGTCTGCCTTTACATGTCCTTCTAATAGTGACACCAGTCATTGGATTTAGAGCCCACCCTAATTCAGTATAACTTCATCATAACTTAACTGATTATATACTCAAAAACTTATTTCCAAATAAGGTCACATTCTGAGGTTCTGGGTGAATGCGATTTGGAGGGATGCTGTTCAACCCCATGTAGTCATTTCTAAATGTTCTATAGGGGAAGATTATTAAGCAGGAAGAGGAATCCCCTGACCTGAAGTCCTGAGAGTATAGTAACCTTAGGAATAGGGTCATGGATCTCTAGCACAGCTGTGCCTTCAACTTACCCTGTGAGGTTAACAAGTAACCATTTCTGGGGTGGTGTGAACCTATTAATAGTCTTAAAGAATTGGACTCTTAACAAGTGGAATCATACTTTCAAAGCAGGGTTTTGCTTCCTCATCACTGTTAACATTTGAAGCCATACAATTTTTTTATTGTGAGCTATCCTGTGAATCGTAGAATGTGTAGCAGCCATCGCTGGCCTCTTCCCACTTGGTACCAGTAGCATCCTCCCCCAACTTGTGACAACCAAAATTATTTTCAGACATTGCCAAATGCTCCCTGGGGGTTGAAATGAGTAGATTGCATTCAAAAATGTTCTGTGTTTAGTTTTTTGCTAAGGTTAATATTGCTATTTCTATGGCATGGTTTCTTTGAAATTAATTTTTATATTATTTTGATTTTCACTTGACTCAATATAAATATAAGCTCTTTTGCTCATGAGAGCTTTAAGAAACTTATTCTGTTAATTGAAATAGTTAATTATTGATTATCGTGCCATAGTCAACTTTGTATTCCCATAACCTGTAGCATAACCAGGCTTCTAGCTTCAGCTTGGCCTAACACTTTTAGTCAGTTTTTCTGTGTTTCTCTATTCAGTTCCTTCTCTTGTTCTACCAAGAGTCCATTTCAGTGCTTTCCTAACTCTCCTCCACCTTTTACATTTCTCTGCCTCTTCTCCCATACCTAGCAAGAGGACTCAGCCTCCTACTTCACAGAGATAATAGAAGCCATCAGATAGCAACTCCCTGGACTTAATACCTACAAACTTACCTGAGCCTCAGCTATTTTTCCTCTTTTGCTCCCTATAAAGTAGGAAGGGGTGTTCTTTCTAAGAAGAATCCCTGTCTTTTTTGGTTGTTTTAAAGATTTTATTTATATATTTAGAGAACGTGTGCGTGAGCGAGCAGAAGGGAGGGGGAGAGGGAGAGAGAAAATCTCAAGCAGATTCCCTGCTGAGCACAGAGCCTGACATGGGGCTCGATCCCACAATCCTGAGATCACGACCTGAGCTGAAATCAAGAGTTGGATGCTTAACCAACTGAGCCATCCAGGCACCCCTCTTTGTCCTTGTTTTGAATGCCACAGTCTCCTGCTTCTCTTGAGAGAAGTGTTTTGTTCTTCCTCTTCTGTATCTTTGACCTCTCTTGTGCTGGGTTCTTCTCACCAGCCATGAATCATATTTACTATGTCATTTAAAAAAAAAAACCAGGGGCAGGGCGCCTGGGTGGCACAGTCAGTTAGTGTCTGACTCTGAGTTTTGGCTCAGGCTGTGACCTCAGGGTTGTGAACTGGAGCCCCCTGTTGAGCTCCATGCTCTGTGCTGAGTCTGCTTGTGTTTCTCCCTCTCCCTCGGACCCTCCCCCCACTGTGATCTCTCTTTCTCTCTCAAATAAATAAATCTTAAAAAAAAAAAAAAACAGTCTTTGACTTTGTGTCTCCCTTTGATCTCCCACCCCTTTTGTTTGTTCCTGTTTATAACGAAACTGCCTGAAAAGTTGTCTACCTTTGCCATTGTCTATCATAATTTCTTTCTCTACTCCCTGATTTTTCTTCTCTTTCCTTGACCTCATTTGCCAAAGAAACACCAATCTACCATGCTCTAGGTCATTATATACAAATGAAGACTGTTCCAAAGCAGTTGTATATTCTACAGGCATCTCAGTTTCGACATACCCACAGCCCTGCTTGTCTTCTCCAAAGCTTATTCTTTCTTTTTTACCCGCTGTTTCTGCCACTGGCAAAAATGTCCTACCATAATCCATTCAGTTTCAGAGCAAAAATATATCAGATCCAAGGAGTTGCCAGTATTTACCTTATATCTCTTTTTTTTCCCCCAAACCTGTCTACTTGTCTCCATTCTCCTCTGCAGCTACTGCTAGTGGAGACTCCCTTCTTCTCTTGTCTGAATTTCTGCAATAACTTCTTAACTGGGTTTTTCTTGCTCCTGTCCAATCCCCTATTTCCTTATCATAAAATGATTTTTTGAGAAAATAGAACAGATCGTGACACTTTCTTCTTAGTGCCTAAGAAGTGCCTTCTTAGGCCTTCTAGTGCCTAGAACTCCATAACATGGTGTATGACGTTTTATGTACTCTGTCTTTTAATTGGTGGTGTTTCTGAGAGTCTGCCCTGGAAGCCTACTTCCCCCTTTCTTCCCTGGGCGATCTCATCCTCCCCATGGCTTCAGTTCTTTGCTAAGATACGGACATACTTACACATGTGACGTGTGCTCTTTGCCACCGTGTGCCCCTCCCCACAGTCCCCTCAGCCTCGCTGCTCCTCTTCCTCAGCTGTAGGCCTCTGCTTATGCACCTCTTCTTCCAGGAAGTTTTCCCTGCCCCTCAGACAGTCTTGGTTTCCCTTCTGTGTGCTCTGTAGCAAGTGCTCTGTTCTTTTTCTGTCACAGTGTACATGTAACTACTTGTTTAACTCTCTGCTTCTTGTGACACTGTGTCCTTTGTGAAGTCTTAGAGTGTTTTTTAATGTCTTGTCATTCTGCCTCCAGTGCCTAGCATATTGTAAGTACTCAACATGTATTTGTTGAATTAATAAATGCGTAATAGTTGTATCCCTTTTAAATAAATGTTATTAAGAGTAGTTAACTTTGGGGCACCTGGGTGGCTCAGTTGGTTGAGCGTCTGACTCTTGGTTTCCGCTCAGGTCATGATCTTGCTGGTGGTGAGATTGAGCCCCATGTGGGATTCTCTCCCTCTCCCCTTCCTGCATGCTCGTTCTCTTTCTCTCTCTCAAATAAATAGATCAGTCTTTTTTTAAAAAGATAACTTTGAACTAAAATAGGGGACTGTTCCAGTTAACTTTTTCTTTTTAAAAAGATTTTATTTATTTATTTGAGAGAGGGGGAGAGTGAGCACAAGAGAGAGCATGAGCGAACACCAGCGGGAGGAGAGGCAGAGGGAGAGAGAAGCAGACTCCCTGCTGAGTAGAGAGCTGGATGCGGGGCTCGATCTCAGGACCCCAAGATCATGACCTGAGCTGAAGGCAGATGCTTGACTGACTGAGCCACTCAGGCACCCCTGTAGTTAACTTTTTCATGGTGAATCTTGAAAATGGTTTGCCTCCTTTAATATTTTTATTTTCCAATTTTATTTCAGAAAAGATCTAGGTCATGCTCAAATGATGGTTGATGAGCTCTTTTCCTCCCACTCTGATTTGGATTCTGATTGTGAACTAGACAGAGCTGTTACCCAAATCAGTGTAGATCTGGTGGATGACTACCCAGCCTCCGACCCACGATGGGCTGAGTCTGTCCCTGAGGGTAAGAACTTTTACTTTTCATATTATGGAGTGATCTGTTTTGAGAATATTCTGGTTCTTTTATTAAAGCATCTCTCAAAGCATGTTTTTTTAGTTTTTGAATTTATTATTTTTTAAAAGGTTATAACTTACCTTACAGTAGATTTTGAAAGGGGCTCAGAACAGATCTGCAGGATAAAAACTGAAGGAGTATTGGAGCAAATCCTGCTTGTTCTATGTGAAGCAGACTAACTAGCCCTACTTAGCTTTCTCACCATTTTATTTCTCAAAGGAAATTGGTGGCATAGGTAAGCATTTGGCACCTATTAGCTCCCAAATTAAATGACAATTTTGGTATAATCACTGTATTTGCCTAATAGAAATTATACATTTCCCTGAGAGTGGCAATGAGTAAATCTCAACATATAGAAATGGACATATCATGTTTCTGCCCTGGGTGACTGTCCTTCTTACACTTCCACCACAGCATCACAGGCACTCGGTATTCCCAGGTACCAGCAAACTGTCTCAAATGTCCATTTCTCTCTCTAAATTCCTACTTAGCAAGTTTGCTAAACCTCATTAGAGGGTTAGGAAGGAAACATCAGTGCTTACCTTTTTTCTTTGACTTCATTTTGAGCTGGCAAGCTTAGAATGATATAAATGATTAACAATAACAGGGTTTGTGTTTTGAATAAATATGGTATGGCTCCCAAAATTTTCCTCTAAATTTTTTAAACTCTTGGGTAATGTTACAAATAGTTGCATTAAAAGATTGGTAGTTTCCTTTGGTATATTTTTTAACTTTTTATTTTAATAGCAGTAATTATTGTAAAGCTAGTATGTTATGTGTTTAAATTTTGTTATTGTGTTTCAACAGAAGCACCTGGGTTTAGCAATACATCACTGATTATTCTTCATCAGCTAGAAGACAAGATGAAAGCCCATTCTTTCCTTATGGACTTTATTCACCAAGTAAGCATCCTAGTTGCTATGGACAGGGATGGCCAGGACACCAGGCTTTACTGTGTCTTTTGTCAGCTCTCTCCAGGATAATGGGAGATCCTTTCTTATTCTGAGGTGTTTTGTGAGGTCGGACATGACTAGTGTTTTCCATTTTCTTTGCTGACTTCAAAGTAGGAAAGTCCAGGGCTGGTGGGGGAGAGGGAGCTATTCAAGTATAAAAGCTGCACGGAAAACAGACTAAAAAGAAGAAAAACAGTGTATTTCCACAGAAATGTTTCATCTTTATTTTGACATTCTTTGATACCTATGTGCTTTTAAGTAAACTTGGGTTTTCATGAATTGCCTTTGTATTATTGAAAAGATAGTGAAGAATATTAAGGTGATGACAGATTTTGATATATGGGTTTATAGTTTTGAAGTGCCATTAGAATCGATTCCTTATTTAAAGTTTGTGGTTTTTTGTTTTGTTTTTAATGGAGTATCCTCATTTATATTGGGCCTAAAATTAGAATATGTTTTTACTGCTAGACAGAATTGTTACACAGTGTCACCCATCTCTGCCTTGTTGATCAGTAGTGGCTCCCAGGCATATTATATATCCAAATGAATGCATTTAATCCCACTTTCGCTTACTTTTTCCAAAATCAATAATGCCTTCATGTTAAAGAGATTCTGATGCTGTCTAATAGAACTTTCTGTGGTGATGGGAATGTTCTATATCTGTGTTACTCAGTAGCCAGTAGTCACAGGTGGCTGCTGAGCACCTTTGGTGGATAGTGGCTACCTTATTGGACAGTGCAATTCTAGATGATTCCAGAAACACCTTGATTGTTCTTAATTCCACATTCTGCTTCAGTTGTAATGTATGGTTTGGCTCCTGTCTACTTTTATTGTCTTGGCAAGGGCACTCCAATCATTCAGGTCTCTCTCCTTTTTTTTTAAGTGGTTTAGATAGACTACAAATTAATGAGGGGAAAAACACAACATTTTCTTATGTAATTGTTTATTTAGTCAAGTGTATCAGTTAACTATTAATACCTAACCACCCCAAAATGTGGTGGATTAAAACATTTCTTTCGGGTACCTGGGCGGTTTTTCTGTGAATTTTAGCTGGGGCCACTCCTTGAACTGCATTTAGGGTAGGCTGAGCTGGAAGGTCCCCAAGCTTCTCTTGCCTGACATTTGATGTCAGTTTGTCAGCTGGGCCACATGGTTCTTCTCCTCCACTTAGTCTCTAATCCTCCTTTAGGCTGCACTGGCTTCCTGTGGTCTCAGGGCAGCCCTCACGGGGATGAACGTAGAAGCTGTAGTCTTCCTCAGGTCTTACGTTAGATGTCACAAAATGTTGCTTCCACCAAAGTGACATTGGTCAAAGCAAGTCACCAGGCCAGCCCAGATGAAAAGGATTGAGAGATGGATTCTACCTCTTGATGGGAGGAGTGCCAAAGTCATGTTGCAGGAGGATGTGCATACTGGGATGGAAGGAGTTCATGCCTTAATATGCCACACCAAGGACACACTAATTTATCAGAGGGTTGAGAGAGCCATGGACCAGGAGTGGTTGCCGTATCTCTTGGCACAGCCTCCCCAGGCTTCAGAAACCCTGCTGGAGTCATTCAACTCTTGGAGGCAGTGTCCATTGCAAGGTAATATCTAGCTGGATCTAAAAATCCCATTCTGGCTGTGCCTTTATGTTTGAATTTTAGAGCATATTATTAGTTGTTAATTATTATTAATGTAAATAATTGTGTAACCAGACATTTGTATCTAAAGAAATACTTTTTTTTTTTAAGATTTTATTTAGTTATTTGTCAGAGAGAGAGAGAGAGAGAGAGAGAGAGTACAAGCAGGGGGAGGGGCAGAAGGAGAGGCAGGCTCCCCACGGAGCAAGGAGCCCGACGCTGGGACTCCATCCCAGGACCCCGGGATCATGACCTGAGCCGAAGGCAGATGCTTAACAACTGAGCCACCCGGGCGCCCCTAAGGAAATACTTCTGAATATGAGGCTCTCCTCCTCAAGCCAGACTCTGTGCCAACAAGGCCATATCTCATGCTAAAGGGGATGAGAATTAATATCCAGGCCTCAGGACAGTGCCTTTGCCTGCAGTTTTCTGGCACTGAGGGAAGCATATGTCCTCACACGTAGTGCAGAGAGGCTTAGAGGCAGGGTGTTACTGCGCTTCTCTTTGTCTTGGGGCCCAAGTGAGTTCATGTGTAGACATCACTTCACTGGCAGTGCTGCCGCGCTGAGGCAAGCAGAATTCCCTCATGTAAAAACTACATTTTCAATATTTATGAGGGAACCAGGAAGAGAATTCAAATCAGAAAAGACAATGCAACTCTTATTTTAAAATAACCAGGTGAACGGGGTGAATAAACTAAGCCAGATTGATTCAGCAACCTATTCCATGGTCTTTAAAAATAATGAGGAAAAAAAAAGTGTATCTAAATGTGTTGTGAAAAAATAAGATGCTATCAAAACAAGGTACAGAACAATATATATAGTGTGACCCCTTTGTGTTTAAAAAAAAAAAAATGTCTCCTAGCATATGAATGCCACAAAAGCTTATAAAGATAGCAGGGAAATTTAACTGCAGCTCCAGTAGGAAATGGGCTGGGGACTTTTACCTCTCCATACTATTAAGTTTTCTAACCAGTGTGCAAGCCAGGCTCTCCGCTTTCGCCATGGACAATGTGGTGGAGAGATTTCCAGAATGGTGACCTACCACAATCTTGGTCAGTTCTCCCTTTATCTTGTGTTCTGTGAAGGAAAAGCAGGAGGAGGGTTCCAGTTCTCTTTGCAACATGGGGAATCAAAGGTGGCAGACCAAGTTCAACTGAGGGTTCTGGTGTCCACATTATGCCAGGCAAGCCCTGCACTGTTGGTTGAGCCTCAGGGGGGTAGCATGTTGGGAAGAGATGCCTTTGTTAAATGTTTTGTATTGTTCTCTTTCATGGGTCAGAGCTTCACACCCTCTTTCCCGGCTTTGGTATTCATTTGGGATGGTAGATGATGTTCCTGAGAGCCTTGAGGTCTGACCTACAGTATTATCCTTCATTCTGGCCCCAGTTTATCAGACCCACTCTCTTTTGGTTGTGTTCTCTGAAGGAAGGGTTCACGTGTGCTGTCCTCTTGGTCGATAGTCTTTATATATAATTGCTGTAGATTCTCAGAAGTCAGGGTGCAGCTTTTCTTTGAGCAGCTTCATGAGCGAATTCAGCAGCAAAGTGGCAAGAAATGGTTCTCCAGCCAAGGGAGGTCATGTTCATCCTCTTATTGTCCAGAGTCTCTGCTCACAATGGCAGTCAATGAGAGGTGCTGCTGGGCGTGGCACCCTGGGCACACAGCATTTTCATGTCAGGTCACAGTGTAGAAACCATCTTCTCGGGCTCCTGGGTGGCTCATTCGGTTAAGCGTCTCTCTTAGTTCAGGTCAGGATCTCAGGGTCCTGGGATCGAGCCCCATATCAGGCTCTCTGCTCGGCGGAGAAGCCTGCTTCTCTCTCTTTCCCTCTGCTCTTCCCCCTGCTTGTGCTCTCTCTCTGTCTCTGTCAGATAAATAAATAAAATCTTCAAAAAAGAAACGGTCTTCTCTCATTTAGAAAAAAATGAAAGAGCATTTTTGCACAGAGAAAAAGGGAAAAGACCCATGAATGTCATCTTTTATCTTTTGTTTTCAGTTGGCTGATACTGCAGTTTTTGTTCTTGACACACATGTGTGAACCACACTTCCAAGACACAAGCTGTTTTGGCTTTTCACTGTAATTACCTCTTGTTCCTCCATGATTCTGATGTTTGTTGTATGGGAAGCAGCCTTCTCCTGGGGCTTCCCATTTACACACTGTAGGGCTATCTTTATGCTTTTAAAAAAAAGAGTAAAGAAGACTGTCACCTAACCTCATGGGGGATTTGTATAAAACCATTTTAGCCCATTTAGCAAAAGGTAGATTCCTTATTATTTCCTTAAGCTCATTGTAATAAAAGAAACCTAATTCAGAAAAAAAAAAAAAGTTTTCTAACCATGTGTGTTTTTCACCCATGTCGTAGGACTTCTCTGGGGATTTGGGGCATTGTTTATTTTGTTTACTGTGTACTTTATTTAAAATAAACCTCAACATATAAAAATCAAGTCACTCAGCAATAAAGTGTAGAAGAGTGTTCCGTATTTAGACGTGTCCGTTGATGCTTTCTCAGATGAGAAAGCTAAGAGGGACCCCCAGAGTGACGTCAGAGATGGGGACCAGCACAGGTGGGAGTGCAAGGGAGCATGGACTCTCGCCCCCTGCCTGTGACTTTAAGGTTGTGGAGAGTAATCGCTGAAGATGGAGACTGCGGAGTGTCTAGTTCACAAAGATCTAGAATCTTGGGGAGTTAGGTAGAAAAGAGCAATTTTACGCTTTTGATAACCATAAGTAATGAGAAATAAGAGTAGTGGAATGACCCTAATCTCAGAAGAGGAACATTGGTACTTACAAAGGGGCTAGTGGCTCTGGCTGAAGTTGTGTGTGTGCGGGTGTAAAACGGTGGAAAGGAGAAGGTAGCTGAGGTGCTCTCTGGGGGACACCTAAGGCCAACGGCTCTGTACCCATTGTGCTTCTGGTGGAGATGAGCCTGCATTATTTCGTGTGTTACTGTGAATGTTTCCTAAGAACACGTGTTTGTATTTTCCCCAGGTTGGCTTATTTGGACGTCTTGGCACTTTTGCAGTAAGAGGGATGCCCATGGCAACTCGACTGTTGCTCTGCGAGCATGCGGAAAAGTTATCAGCCGCCATTGTTCTCAAGAACTACCACTCCAGGCTCTCGGACCTGCTGAACACAGCAATCATGATTGCTTTAAACAAGAGGGATTGTGAAATCCCATCCAACCTGACTCCCGCAGATGTCTTTTTTAGAGAAGTAAGAGGAGTTCTTTTGCCTTTAACGTGGCTTTTTAGAGCTATGCCATTTGCTGATCATGCCTCGAACAGGGAAAAGATGGAGCACAAAAAAATCTCATTGAAATTTTAAATAGGACTCCATGTTTATTTAGCACATTCCCTGTAAGTTAGAGCTTGCAAAATTGACTAAGTCTTCTCTACTGTCTGCTGGATGTTTTCCTTTTGCCTCTCCAAATCCACTCTTGACGCTGCCCCCTCTAGAGGGCATCTCGTCAGTGGGTTCCTTTGCCCTCCTGTTGTCTTTGATAACGGTGAGGCACTATCAGGCCGGGAGTGGTTATCTATTATAATTTGTTCTATCTGTTATTCCCCCAGCCTCGTTCCTTCCCTGCTTCCACTGCAGTTTGCTGTGCCTTCTGTCAGAGACTGCAGCTTCTCGCTGGCTGCTCTCCACGTTTCCAGTAACTGCTTCCACCCAGTGCGCCTTCACGCCTGGCCTTCGTAGTGGCTCCCCTGTTGCTAGCCCTGGATGCTGCATCTTCCTATGTAGATCCCCTGGCCCCTGCCAGCACCACCACAAACGGGCCCTTCACTAAACTCTGCTCACTACCTGCTAGGATCCTACTATCTACCTTGTTTTTAAAATCATTTATTTTCTAAGGAAAAGAAAAACCCGCTATAAACATCAGAGGAAGAAAAGATTTAAGATGCTGGCCAACTAGTGGCAGCTGACTATTGTGATAATAGCATATAGCTCTTGTTCTTGTGCAACTTCTTACAACTTCATGCAGGGGCAGGGAGACTTTACTCCCTCCCTGTAATTGTTTTTTACATTTGGGGAACTTTTAACTCTATTTGCTCAGTTTCATTTTTATTTCCTTCCTACCACAGTCTAGCTATAATCTAGCATCTAACAGGCTATGCCAAGAAGTCCTTTTCTCTTCTTAATACAGTTGACCCTTGAACAACATGCCAGTCCCCTTGCACAGTGGAAAATCTGTGTATAACTTCTGACTCTCCAAAAATATAATTACTGGGTGCCTGGGTGGCTCAGTTATTAAGCGTCAGCCTTTGGCTCAGGTCATGATCCCAGGGTCCTGGGATCGAGCCCTGCATCGGGCTCCCCGCTCTGTAGGAAGCCTGCTTCTCCCTCTCCTACTCCCCCTGCTTATGTTCCCTCTCTCACTATCTCTCTCTGTCAAATAAATAAATAAAATCTTTAAAAAAAAAAAAAAAACTACTAATAGTTTACTGTTGATCGGAAGCCTTACCAATAGTTGAATTAATACACAGTTTGTATGTTACATACAGTATTACATACTGTATTCTTAAAGGAAATGTTAAAATTTACATAAGGAAGAATAAATTCACAATACTGTACTGTATCAAAAAAAATATGTGCATCAGTGGGCCCATGAAGTTTAAACCTGTGTTGTTTAAGGGTCAGCTATGTTTCATGTACTATAACCTAAAAATAATTTAAGACACTGAACTATGTTCAGGTTTTCTGTTGATTCCAGAAATGTATTTAGTTCTAGAATGCCTTGTTCTTATATATTTGGGTTAGTTTTTTGTCTAAGGATGTAAGGCAAAGCACTTTTTTGTTTTATTTTGTTGTTGTTGTTGTTTTTTAAATCTAGGAAATATCCCCAAAATCTGAATGAAAGAAAGAAAAACAGTTTCCTCAAATTCCATCATCTAACCAATCTGAAGGGAAATCTGTGCAAAGCCCTCACTCCCCCACCTCCAGCCAAGCTTACAGACAAAACTCACAGGTGTCTGCACTTGGCCCTAACTCTTTGTTGTGTAAGAAGGGGAGGAGAGTGATGGTGTCAGAAATAGAAGTGGGCCAAGAAGGGCTACAGAGGAGAAGGTCACCTACATATTGGATAAGAGTACTATTTGGGAGGGAGAGGTTATCTGATGCCAGAGCTTGTCCGAAGAGGTGGGGGCTATCCCTAAAACCCTGCAGGAGAACTGTCCAAATTAACTGTTGGGAGTGTCAGGTGTTGGGGTCAGTCCAGGGAAAGGTGAAAAGGTCTTGGGATTCTGGAAAGATGGGAACATTGGAGAATGCATCCTTAAGGTCTAAGACAGTGATGTACATGGTGGGGGTGCAATGGTGGGGAGAGGGTGTATGGCTTGGGGACGATGGGGTGGATAGGGAAGACTGCTTCGTTGATAATTCCGAGATCCTGAGCGAGTCTATAAGAACCGTCTGGCTTTTTTTTTTTTTTTTTGGAAGTCTAGGGAATCCCTTCATATTTATTAATATACTCAACTTCCATTTATTTTAATTCAGTTCAGTTGCATTTGGATAATTTTTAGGCTTCAGTAGAATTAGGTGCTAATAAAAGACTCATGAAGGTTACTTGTGAAGTTCTGTTTTTTCCTTCAGCGTATTTGTTTATCTGTCTTGTCTATTAGAAGTATAAAGAACTTCAGTGAATAAGCTATATTTCCTATCTCATCCTTGAATCTGGACTCATGATTTCAAGTGAATTTGGAATTTATAAACTTTTAGAGTTAACTGATACCAGCAATTGTTTGGTATCTCTGGTCTTAAATTCTGGTCTGGCATATGCCTTTAAAATCTTATTCAGTCTATTTGAGTAACTGTTGAAACCAAATTTATGTTCACTTATTTTCTGCCCTGAAGATGCTAATTCCCTCATCTTTTGGGTTACCCTGCTTGTTCCTATTATTTTAACTAGATAACTCTAAGCTTCCTTAACTTTACCTGGCTATTATTAATCTTTAATCAGGAGAAAAAAATTAAAGTGAAATAAGTTGCATTTTATTTTCTCCCTTATCTCTGGGTTCCTATTTTAATGTCAGTCATTTTGCAATAATGGCTTATAATGGAGTTCACTTTCAGTAAACTCCTGACCACCTCTTTAGCTGCTAAAATGTCTCACACATTTTGTCACTGAGTCATTTCAGAGCTGTCTCCTTTTTGTTTCTAATATATGTTTTTTTTTTTCTATGTGAATACATCTCCAAAGTTATTGGGTTTCTGGAAACATAAATAAAGAACAGATGGCTGCTCACACCTTATGACAAATACGTTGGAGACAGAGGACTTTCCTCATGTCCCTTATGGTCAGCATGTTAGCTCTCATGTGGTGGACATCTGTGGCTATTTGAAATAGGCCTTGCTGCTGTTTTGGAGTCTCTCAGGTCTGGTCAGTCCTCTTGAATAGTAGCTTATTTTTAAGCAGTTGGGTTTCTCAGTTATTTATTAGTCTGGAGCTCAGATTCCTCTTCCATGCTCACGTGGTTGTTGGCAGCATTCATTTCCTTGCTGGCTTTTAGCCAGAGGTTGTTCTCAGCTCTTAGAAGCCATTTTCATGACACCCTCCCTCCACATGCAAAAGGAAAGGATTATACAGGGCATGTGCTTTAAAGTTGGGAATCCAGAGGGCCATCTTAGTGTCTACCACTAAAATAATAGGAGGCCATAAGGTACGTATTTCTTGTTTCTTTTTTCCGTCTTCATGTGTCTGGATTCTTTTCCTCCTTTAGTTTCATAAAAGAAAGATTCTTTATTCTAAGTTTAAATTCTTCCCGCAGGTCTTTCCCACCCCTCTTTCAATTCACTCTATTAGACCTGCTTGTGGTCCCACTCACACACTCTTGTATTTTCATTTTTCCCTGTTTATTTGCTCCTTCCTTTCAACTTGCATGTTGCCTAGTCCTCAGTTCTTCTCTGAAGTAAATCTGCCTTTTCTATAGCTCAGGTTTAAGTCCACTCTTTTTTTGCAAATGGGTAATCTTCCTGTCTCTGGCCCTCCCTACTCTCATCTACCCAGAACCGTATGGCTTTTTGACTAGAAGGCTTAGAGTACTGTAAGGAGAGTTAGTAGGTTTATTAGAGGAAAGGAATTTGGAAATGGGGGTTGTAAGCCTCTCAGGGCCTCAGGTTTGAGAGGTTATTGGGGTTTGAAGGGGAAAAGGTAGGATCCTTAAGGTGTATAGATTCCTTTCACAATCACACTGTTGTAACTTTTGTGTTCTTTTTTAGTTTTTGTTCATGCACACTTTTACATGGCAAAGCAAATTTTTAAAAAAGTTACTAACAAATTATTTGAAAGAATTGAGTAAGAGCCTGATTCCTTTTCCTGCATTTGGATCAAAGTGGAAAGCATACTGGTTAATTCAGTATACCTGCATTTTCCAGTTAACTGGGGGGAAAAAAAGGAAGGATCTGGAAATTATCAGTTGGATACATAATTCATGAGTAGTACCTTAGGAATATGATAGACAAAACCAAAAATGTGACTGGTTCTTCAAAAGAACGCTCCATATGGGAATGGTAATGTTTAAGACTATTTATATCACCATTTATCTTTTTTTTTTTTTGATTTATTTATTTATTTGACACACAGAGATAGCAAGAGAGAGAGAGAGGGATCTCCCCACAAGCAGGGGGAGCGGCAGGCAGAGGGAGAAGCAGGCTTCCTGCATGAGCAGGGAGTCCGATGTGGGGCTCGATCCCAGGACCCTGGGATCATGACCTGAGCTGAAGGCAGCGGTTTAACCAACTGAGCCACCCAGGCGCCCCTATATCACCATTTATCTTAATTCCTCATGACATTTGCTGGTATTAAGTTTCCTTTGGGGTGTAGTTTTGAATCTTAGGGTTCCATAGAGGTAACTGCTTAAGGGATAGACTGTTGGGTCAGCATATGAATAGTATTTGAAACCACTGAGTATGTAACTCTCGTGGTGAAGGTGTTTAGCAATTTATTTGCTTTTATATATATATATATATATTTTTTTTTTTTTAAGATTTTATCTATATGTCAGAGAGAGAGATCACAAGCAGGGGGAGCGGGAGAGGGAGAAGCAGGCTCCCCGCTGAGTAAGGAGCCCAATGCAGGACTTGATCCCAAGACCCTAGGATCATGACTTGAGCTAAAGGCAGATGCTTAACCGACGGAGCCACCCAGGCATCCCTGCTTTTATATTTTCTGCTTTTTTATATCATATATGCTATCTTACCATTTTCATTTTAACGATATTAAGAAATTCTTACATTTAATCTTGCAAATTAAATGAGCCAAAAGTCTCTTGCTGGGGCTATTAGGATGCCTTTGACTAACACCTGAAATAGGAAAGGAATAACAGGTTTAAAAGATGATTTTGGGGGCGCCTGGGTGGCTCAGTCATTAAGCGTCTGCCTTCGGCTCCCAGGGTCCTGGGATCAAGCCCCACATCGGGCTCCCTGCTCTGCGGGGAAGCCTGCTTCTCCCTCTCCCACTCCCCCTGCCTGTGTTCTTTCTCTCACTATGTCTCTTTCTGTCAAATAAATAAATAAAATCTTAAAAAAAAAGATTTTCTTTGGGCCATATTTTGCATATACATATGTCTTGTTCCCTCAACTAGCTTGTAAGCATAAGGACAGCAAACCTCCTTTCTGTTATTTCTTTGCATGCCCAATGCTATGCAGACTCTAAATGTATTAAGTAAATATCCACTTAATAAAGGGGGGAAAGTTTAACCGTGGGCTGAAACCAGAAACAGGTGTTTCAGTGCTTAAAGAGAATTTTTTGCTTCATTACCTTCATGTGTTAATAATGACAAAAAAAATTAGAAAAGAACAGAAGTTATATACATTTGACTCTTGAACAATACAGGGGGTTAAGGGTGCTGACCCCCCATGCAGTCAGAGTGTTTTAAAAAATCATAAGAGAAAATAAATTTACTGTACTGTATCAAAAAACATCCACGTGTAAGTGGACCCATGTGGTTCAAACCTGTTGCTCAAGGATTCCTTGAACAATATTTTCTCTTTCTACTTCCTTTTAAATTTATTTTCACCATCAGCTGTTTTATTCTGGCTAATGAGCTGAGGGTATTCCTTGATGAGAAAAGCCCCTTGAGTAGATTCTGGGCAGTTGTAATTATTACCATCAACATAATTTTTGTTGTAAGTATTGCCTTCTCTGTACTTCCCCAGGTGTCCCAGGTAGACACCGTCTGTGAGTGCTTACTAGAGCATGAGGAGCAGATCTTAAAGGATACATCATTGGAATCCGTTGAATGGGCTGAGGTGGTCATCAATGTGAACAGTATTCTCAAGGTACAAAATTACAGTGAAGATTTCGGCAAATCAAAGACCAGAGTATGGATAGAAGAGAGAGTGGTTTCCATATTCCTATTCTGTATCGCCAGTAATTTTTAAGTGTTTAGCATTTAATTCCAAAAATTTAGAAAAATGCCATTTTATTAATCAGGCAAACATTTTGAATGTTTGCCTTGGGCATTATTAAGTGTCTATGATCCTGAGTTCTGTTTGGTAAAATAAACCTTTTATTTGGAGAGGGATATATATATCATTACAAATGTATTAATGTTATACTAACTAAATCACTCAAAAGCTTACTGTTTATATTACTGATTAAAATGTTCCATTTAATCTTAGCTAATGGTCTTTATAGCAATTGTTTCCCTACTCTGGTTACTATAGTTTTCCAAAATTGAAATTAAATTTTAGTGCAGAAAGAACCAAAAAGTAATTTTGCAGACCTGTGCTGAGTATTTTTTAGTATTAATAGACTTTGGTGTTTCAAATTAGCTTTAAAAATACTGGGATTCATCGCTTTCTGCATATGCTATCACATTTTTTTTCTAGGACATGCTACAAGCTGCTAGTCATTATCGACAAAATAGAAACTCCTTATATAGAAGAGAAGAACCACAAGAACAAGAACCTGAATATGTTCCTTGGACAGGTGAGATTGCAAGCACTGAGCGCAAATATACTGATTTATTATTAGCAGTCATTCAAAATATATTCCTGATGACCCATTTTTGGAAGCTGTATTACTCCATTAGTGTAGGTTTATAAGTAAAATGAAAAATAAGTGCTATCTCCAGAATGAGCAATTCTTGTGAAAATTGCTTTATTCTCTTGAATAATTTATAGATCTCTCTATGATGTATTTCACTAGTACTTATTATGTGTCCACTAGATTTTATTTATTTGTTTTTTAAGTAATCGCTACCCCCAGTGAGGGGCTTGAACTTATGACCCCAGGATCAGGAGTCGCATGCTCTGTGACTGAGCCAGCTAGGCGCTCCATGTCTACTAGATTTTAGGGCATATAGTTATTCAAAGAAGCAGGTCCTGGCTCTGGAGGTGTTGACTATATTTAATGTTGATTTAATACAAAAAAGTAAGTGGAGCAGCATTAAAGGGATTTAGAAGGAAAAAGGATCATGTTTACCTGGCTTTGTTGAGGAAGTCTCCCGTATAGAAGATGGGATTTGAGCAGGACAGAGAGGTATCAACTGAAACCCTATTTGATTTATTTTTCCAGCAGCAGTGAGGTGATAGTTTTTAGGAAGTTGGTCTTTCCCTTAGCCAGTATAGAACCCTTACTTACCGTATTACTTTGTGTGATTTCACAGCAACGGGTGGTCCTTCAGGCATCCGGACAGTAATAGAACGCCAGCATGGAATTGTCCTGAAAGTGGTTTATCCTCAGGCAGACAGCAACCTCCGAAACATTCTGACAGAGCAGCTGGTGGCACTGATTGATTGCTTCCTGGATGGTTATGTTTCCCAGCTGAAGTCTCTGGACCGATCTGGTGATCAAGAAAGATATAACAGTCTGGAAATGGAATACCTACAGAAAAGATCAGATCTCTTATCTCCACTTCGTAAGTGCATGGTATTTAGCAAGGCCCATGGGTCTTTGAATTTGCAGAACAGAGGAAGGAGTCAGATCGTTAATGCAGCGTATTCAGTGTGCTATCATTCATCCAAGCCTAACCAAGAACTTAAAGCATACATACAGCTTTCTGTGTTCATTTGTTCAACCTTATTTTCAAAACTTGCCAGATACAAGCACCATGCTGAAGAGCATTTGAAAAAGTAAATTAGCAACAGATGGAGACTGCCCTCCAAGAGCTTGTCATCTGAGACCTTGACACGAATAACTAGTCTGCCCAGTAGAGCATGATGAAGCCTGTTCAGCAGAGGACACGTTCTTTTCATAGTTAGGATGAGGAGGTGGGGTTGTACACATAGGAAGGGAATAGCTTCATAGGTAGGCAGGAACAAAGTGGATTAAATTTGCCTCTTTAATGAATTTATGTGGATTATGAAACTAAATGCCAGTAACTGGAAAGATTTCTATTCCATTATTTTTAGAGTATGGTATGAGTTAAGGGTAAAATTTCATGTAATATTTTTTATCACATATTAAGTTTTCACTGACAGGATTTTTTTTTTTCCATCTGTTCTCATTTTTACAGTCACACTAGGCCAGTACCCGTGGGCTGCTTCATTAGCAGAAAAGTACTGTGACTTTGATATCTTAGTACAGATGTGTGAGCAGACCGACAACCAGACCAGACTCCAGCGCTACATGACCCAATTTGCCAATCAGGTAGGTAACGAATGTCAGGGACGTAGGCAGTGGATCCTGTAGTAGGTTTTACCATTTCAAATCTTACTTGGGTTTTTAGGAAGATGATGTACAGTCTTTTTGCAGTTAACTTAGATACTAATTTGTGCGTTGTGTTTCTTTGTAAATTGGCAGACAATTCCAAATATTGAAAGATTTTTTGACCTTTGAAGAATGTGTTAAAACTTTCATTTCTGTTCTGATATTTCCAGTTATAATTAAAAGTAAATAGACGAATATTGGGAGAGTTTTAAAACTTTGAAAAAAGATCTTGGGAGAACAGGATGCTGCAGCTTTTGGAGAGCTCAGCTTTCCTCAGTTGACATCATGCTTATTTTTTTAAAGAAGTTCTCATTATGACACTCTCTAGGTGAAAGTCACTCACAATTTCACCACCCAGAGAGAACCCTTTTTATCATTTGGTTTATATTGTTCTGGTCTTTTCACTGTATAGTATTACAGACAAACATACTTTGCCAATTGCTTATTTCCCTTAATATATCACAAATATTTGTCCTTCTTATTAAGTATTTCACAACAATGTTTTTGATGGTGTTATGGTATATTGTGAACTGGGTGTAACTTACCGTATTTGACCAGGGCCTGATTGTTGGACACGGCTTATTTGGTATTTCAAAATAGTGCTTAAGTAAATACTTTTGTGCCCATATGATTTTTATTCTTTTTGTGGATTCTAGCCCTTTGTCAACATTTTCCATCCATTTTTGCATTCTTTTATTCTCTTTAATATGTTTAGTAATTATTTAAAAATCCTTCCATGCTACCTCCAAAATCTGATCATTCTCCGGTCTGGTTCTGTTGTCTAGTTATTAGTCATATTTTTCTGCTTTTTATGTCTTGTAACTTTTTTGTTTTATTTTGGATATTGTGTATAAAGGAACCTTAAAGGTGGAAATGAATGCTATTTTTCTCTGGGGAGGCAGATAGGGTGAGAGGCAGGTCACTCGATTCATCAAGAATAGAGGTGGGCCAAGGCTTCGTTGTGGCTTTTGTTATATTCATTTCATTTCTGGTTTTGAAGTCTTGTGGGATTGGTATGTTCGTTGCAGAATTCCTTCTTTAGTGGAAACATCTCTTACATACTGTGTGACTGTAGGACATTTTAGTCTTCCTTTCCACCCTAGGCTTCCATACTTACCCCAGCATTCAGCAAAGTCTGGTGGGAAAAACCAGCTAGGCATTGAGGGCCTCTCTAGATTCTTATTTATCATGCCAGTCTGCATGGCCTTCTGGCACAGAATTCAGTCTTTGAGAATCTTTCGTTCTGCACTGTCACATAGAACTTCCTGTGACACTGAAGATCTTACTCATATATTTTGTCTAAGATAGGACATAGGGCCATTGAGCACTTGAAATGTGGCGAGTGTGACTGAGGAACTGAATTTTAAAATTTTAACTGAGTTTAAACAGCTACATGTAGCTAATGGCTACCATACCATACCACGCACATCTAAAGTTTACATGACCTTGAGCAAGATTCCCTTTCTGAATCCGAATTCCTCATTTATTAAATGAGATGACTAAGTTTTTTTTAAGGCCCTACCATATAGAAAATAAGTATTTAAGGATTTCTGTTCTGCAATCTAAGACCTTTGAAAAAAATTAATATTTTATTATAAGAAATGTACTTTTTAAAACTGTATTACTGAATATTACTGGATTCCTTGCCCTGTTATTTGTAGAATTTTTCAGACTTCCTCTTCCGTTGGTATCTGGAGAAAGGAAAGCGAGGCAAATTATTATCTCAGCCCATTTCTCAGCATGGAGAGTTGGCGAATTTTTTGCAGGCTCATGAACATCTCAGCTGGTTACATGAAATTAACAGCCAAGAATTAGAAAAGGTAAGAAGGATTGAGTTACATGGAGCAGATTTAGGCAATTTTTTACTTGTTTAGTTTAGTGATTAAAATACTATTTAGAGATTATTTTACTATCTTATTTTTTTTTTAAAGATTTTATTTATTTATTTGACAGAGCGAGAGAGGGAACACAAGCAGGGGGAGTGGGAGAGGGAGAAGTAGGCTTCCCACTGAGCAGGGAGCCCCATGCGGGTCTCCATCCCAGGACCCCGGGATCATGACCTGAGCTGAAGGCAGACCCTTGACAACTGAGCCACCCAGGTGCCCCTAGAGATTTTTTTAAATATGTATCTCCTATTCTATGACATAATTTAAATAAAGTGTTCTTTTTTATTTATGATGGCATTGCCATTACTTTTAATGTCTCAATAAAAAAAGTACCTTGTGATTTGACTACTATTACAGTAAAGCACAAAAATTTTATTAATGTGTAAATAACAGTCTGTGGCCTTTTTTTTGTAATGAGTATTTTCTTAAAAATGTTCAAATTATGAGTAAAAACAGTACACTAAATAGTTTTAAAGTTTGTCCTTGACAAGTTGTTGAAGTGAATGTATAATTGTTATAGAACAGATGTTTTGTACATGTTTCTTTTCCCAATAATTAGTGTGGCTGGTTAATATTTTATTGAGTAATTACTCTCAGTATATAGTACCAGTCAGGTTTAGGTTTGCTAGTATTGGATCTGATCTTTCCTTGGTATCAGTAAGGGGGGGAAACAACTATGGGTTGTACTTAACCTTTATTTAAATTTGAATTTAATACTCAGGATCTTACCATTTTTCCATATTTTGTTTATCGTAGGCTCATGCAACACTGCTGGGTTTGGCAAACGTGGAAACTCATTACTTTGCAAAGAAAAAAACCCTTCTTGGTTTGAGTAAATTGGCTGCGTTGGCTTCAGACTTTTCAGAGAATATACTGCAAGAAAAAATTGAAGGTAAAAGAAAGGATTTGAACATCAGTCATGCTATCAATGAACTCTGTGCATTCCTATTATCATTTAATAGGGTTCATTAGACACCAGGACCCATCTCTCCTTTAAGAGGAGTGATTCAGTGTCGTTAGACCCTTACTCAAGTATGTATTTTTTGGGATTCTGTTTTTTAGAGAAAATTTGTATGTTAAATAAGAATTCCTAAGAAGGATGTTACATGATTTGAAGAGTGTTCTGAGTACACCCGTAGTGACTCATATTCTAAGAACAAGAAGAACTGCAAAGAAATCTTGACCTTTACTCAGTGGGTTTTATTGTAGATAGTGGTAATTTTGAAGCTACTGGTTTCAGAATTCAAAACTTTTTGGTGTCATAATTGTATACAACTATTTTGTTATATTGTAGGTTGAGAAAATGATTGGGTATATTGTTATTTTTGAGAACCAAGGGGAAGGGAGATGAAATTTAGAAGGAAGATGAGGAAGAACCCTGTACTGCATTTGAATTGGAGATAATCAGATGGAATCATGATTGTTTAAAATTAAAGTATTTCTTGGCTCTGTTCAGTGAAAAGGCCTAAAATCAGTGACACCCCCGTAGCATGAGTATACCTAGTCCTATACTTTGGCTTCTAACTACTATTTCTCAGTAAAAGGAATTGAGGGTTATTGAAGAAATGATCTTGGGAAGTCTTGTTTAGCCAGAAAGCAGGGTTAATGTAGAGATGTCAACACAATAGCCTCCACTAGCCAAGTTTGGGGATAATTTGAACACCAAAAAGAATGATAGTAAAGCATTTTATTTCACCGTTTAAAAAACGTTTAAAAACAAAAAATCCATAAATCCACAGTGATACCCAAAAGGGGAGGGGTCAGTGAAATGCTTCTTTACAAAAAAAGAATACCAACTAATAAATGTAGAATAGGACTTGGGAAGTCATCTTGCAACCCTGGTGACTAATTAGTCATCAAAGGATGCTAAAACCATTGAGTTTAAGGGTTGGGGGAAGAAGATCATGTCATGTTTTCAGAGTATTATTACACAGATCTAATAGATACCATCGTCAGCAGTGAGACAAACTCAAATTATATGCTTCCTGGAGTGATGTAATGTGACAGTGTAGAATACCACCTGTGTTGCTTTCATGCTAGAAATGGTCAACCTGAATCTAACCACAAGGGAGTGATTAGATATATCCTGTTTGTGGGGCATTTTGCAATATAATTGGCCCAGACTCTTCAAAATTCAGCAGCATGAAAGACAAAAAAAAAGACAAGAGGCTGTTTTAGATTAAAGTAGCCTGAGAGCTGTGACAACCAAATACAGTGTGAGATGCTTGATCAACTCCTCAGTCATCCCCCAAATAACTAACTATGACAAACATTTTGGGGACGACTGGGGAAATGTGAACATAATATTAGATGACATTACTTTATTTGTGTTAAATTTTTCAGACTTGATAATGATACTTGGTTGAATGCCCTTGTTCTTAGGAGGTATATGCTAAAGTATTTAGAAACGAAATGGCATGAAAGTCTGCAACTTCCATATTGCGTAGGGGGGAAAGCAAATAGGTTGGTAGGTAGGTAGATAGATAAAGAAAGATGGCAAAATGTTAATAGCAGGTAACTCTAGGTATACAGTGTACACTGCATTCTTTTTTAAAATTTTGTGTAGGTTTGGAATTTTTCAAAATTAAAATTGGAGGGGATCTTAGCTATGTGGTCAGGAGTGAAGTATATGCAAATATAGGTGTGTGGTTGCAGGGCTTAGCCACAGAGTCCAGCTTCTGAGGTATGGATTCCAATTATACTGCCATTTTTTTCTTTGGGGAGTGGGAATAGTGGAAAGAATCTGGATGGAAATTGGAGAGATCTGGTTTCAGTTATTTTCTCCAGCTTACTAGTTTTGTGACCTTGGGTACCCTCTGAGCCTCAGTTCCTTGGCTATAAAATGGGTAGTTGTAAGGATCGGAGACACTCTTCCTTGAAAAAAATGTTTCGCATATATTAAGTCCTTAATAAATCATATAACTTTTAACTTTTATCATTTAACTTTTATTACTAAAATTATTATTCACTCTTTAGGAGATTCTTCAGTCTTTCATTTTTAAGTACTAGTAGTGCCTATTGCTCTAGAGAAGTGTGTATATATTCTGCAAGGTTGGCTGATAGTCTGACATGGGAAACCATATTTTAGCCTGGTCACCAGAGATAGACTATGTTAATCAAATCAAGGTTTTATTTCTTGCTCCCCCACCCACCAGAAATCATTAGAACTCTGGTCACCGTTTTGATTTGATCACTTCTTAACTTTCACTTTCTTAAAACAGTGGGAGTATTTTCAGGTGTCAGTAATTACCTATGGACTATCAGTGTGTCTGGTCATAGGGAGTAGATTTTTAAAAAATAACTTTCTGGTTATATGAAAAATTCCTATGGAAATTTGTAAATCACCAGGAAGAACACAATAAAAAAAAATTGTTCCTATAATCTCACTGCCTCAGAGATTACTACTGTTACTATTTCGTGTATCCTCCCAGTCTGTTTTTCTTGGTATGGAAATTGCACAAAAATGATTTGTTTGTTATAAAATTAGGATCACATGGAGTGATGTCAGTATTTGAGCATATTTATGCTTTGGTCACTGTACTTTGCTGTGACTGCTGTGTTTATGAGGCTGCATGGCAGTTCTCGATCCTTTTCCCCTGCAGCCCAGCACACTTTCCTGGGCAAAGCCTGGGAATGGGCTGCAGCCTGAATAGCCTCACCCCGTCACCTCATCCTATTGAGATTACCATTGCTAATTAGGTTTGGCACATAAACTTCCAGGTTTTGTTTTTCCTGGAATATACTCATGGTGGCTTTTAAATAGATCATTTCCCTTAGTGAAAGATTATATTAGAAACTCTGGCAGGAGTTGCTGAGTTACCAGAAAATGGGACTGGGTGACCCCCGATTTGAGGGACTTGTGCCTCATGAAATAGCCATCTGTTCTACAACTCCTTCAAACAGTAGTGTTATTTTCATAGCTCTTCTCTCCCCTCCTATTTGTGGTGACTGTGATTGTTTATATGATTTGAATCAAACCATGAGTATGTTTTAACATCAGGAATCAAGAGTTAGCAGAATTTATAACATTTTAGGATCACCAGGTAGTGATGAGATTACCTTTAGAGATGTTCCTCTTTTTTTTTTTTTAATTTAGATTTGTTTTATGATAGAGCAGAAGAGTTTACTCCCCTTCCTGCCTCTCATTTTGAATTCTAGAAATGGCTGAGCAGGAGCGCTTTCTTTTGCACCAGGAGACCCTGCCTGAACAGCTGCTGGCGGAGAAACAGCTAAGTCTCAGTGCGATGCCAGTGCTGACTGCCCCTCAGCTCATCAGCGTGCGTGCTTTTCCCATCCTTGCACCGTTTCTCAGTCTCAAAACAGCATCGGTATTTCTTGAGTCAGATGGTATAGTTCCTATGAGTAGTCATCTCCTCACTTCCTGTTTTTCTGGTAACTTTCCCCTTCCCCCAGAATAAGTTGTTAGAAGCTGCTTGAGAGCAGGATGCACATTAGCAGAAAGTAGTGGATCAGCTTCTGCCTCCCTGTAGATCTCCACCTGTTCCTAGAGATGCTCATGCCGGTGACCAGAAGAAAGTTCTTGTATTTTCTTTTCCAGCATAGGACACATATGTACCATGAGGTACAGTTCAGGCTGTTCCATAAGAAAAATGGTTTAAGGAACTGGATTTTCATAGCCTATAAGTACCATCCTCACCCTTTTCCTTTGGAACATAACACATTCTTAAGGGCATAGCTACATTATGGGCTGTAGCCTGGGTACTACAACAAAAGATACTTTTGTTGTTAAGTACACTTGTAGCCTTAACTCTGCTTCTCTCTTTGCCTTTCAGGAAAGCATTTCAAATGCAAGAGCGATGTAGGATCACTTTGAATTTGCTCTAATTTTATTAAAAAGAGGACAATTGAAAAACTTCAGTGTTTTAGACATTACTAGTAACAGATTTCCTGTAATTGAGCTCACAACGGCCTCTCCTTATATAGCATATTGCAAAGAATATGCTCAAAAGAATACTAAAATATGTATACTATCTTGAACCTAAGAATATAAATTTACTGACATTTTAAAAGTACGTATACCAAGATTTGCAAATCAGTTAGTTTATTATGAGGATAGATGGAATGTGATTTCCAAAGATGATAGTCTTACTATAAAATAAAAATACCTTTGACTTACTTAAAAGACAATGACATATTTTGTCCATAAATTTCTCTAGTCTTGGTTATATGATTACTTAAAATAATCCTCAACCTTATTTGAACTTTCTATAGCTGTATATCTGTGAAGAAAACAGAAGAGCTAATGAATATGATTTCAAGAAAGCTTTGGACTTGCTGGAGTATATTGATGAGGTAAGTATAAAATCACTTGAGATGATCACAGGCAAGTATCACAGTTTATATATATGGTTTTCTGTAGAACTGAATACCTATAAAAAGAGAAAAAAATACCTCTTGTAGCCAATCATGACAATATGTTAATTTAGAAAGACTCTCTGGTTCAGCTATTCCTAACTCTTGGAATGTGTATAGTTCTTTAGAAAAGCTGTCAGGAGATTCCCTTTCCTGATAATTCTCACACATTCCCAGATGTCTTTTTCTGTGCATGAATAAAAAACACCACTTTTCAGAGTCCTGAGGTATTTTTTCTCTTTCATCATTAAGTCATTATTAGTTCCTCAGTCTGATATGTTGCTTTATCAATTTATTCTTCACATTATTCACCCTAAGAGGAGCTGTTTCTCAACCTTTTTCTTGGGGGTGGGGGGGAGCTTTAAATGACAATTCTGTAGGTTAAATAGTTGGCCCTGCAATAGATAGATTTTAAAAATGTAGTGTATTGCCTTTTATGTTACCTTGTTTAAAGTCTTAACCCTTTCAAGTTTCCTGATAAAATCAGATTATCACAGAATAATCAGAAACTAATTCTCACAGTTACTAATTGGCTTACGCTTCTGAGTATTCATGTCTGAAATTTTTTTAAATTATGAATTAAGGTAAATCAATTGTATTTATGCAGAATTAGTTAACATAACTCAAATTTAAGCATGTATTTTTTTTAAATCAGCACTTAATGAGGATTTTTTTGTTTTACTGTAAAGGAGGAAGATGTAAATATAAATGATCTAAAACTGGAAATCCTTTGCAAAGCTCTTCAGAGAGATAAGTAAGTTCTCATAGCATGACTCTAATCTATGGTTTTAGAAAAGGACTCTTTAGGAAGATTATGATATCCTATATCTAATGGTTTTGTAACCTAATTGTATTCTAACATAATTATAAAAATTTTATTGTGTGCATTAGTAATCTTAATTTTTCATTCAATAATTAAGGAAGAGTTTAAGGACTTAGGACCACTGGTATAATAAATCTCTACTTTTGATTTTATTTATTGAGTGAGAGAGAGCGGGGGTGGGGTGCAGAGGGAGAAGGGGAGAAAGAGAATCTCAAGCAGGCTCCACGCCCAGTGCAGAACCCAATGTGGAGCTCAGTCCCACGATCCTGAGATCATGACCTGAGTCGGACGCTTAACCGAGACACCCAGACGCCCCTGTACTTTCGATTTTAAAATTTGGACTGTCAGTTTGCACAGAAATACATATGTTCCTGATTTTCACAGAAGTTGGGCCAGTTCTACCAAACAAGAAGCTGCATTTTTTTTTAAATAAAAAGTTTATTAGAGTATCAGTACTCTCTTGTAAGTTACTGAGACCTCTTTTTCATGATCATCTCCTTCCTGAGAAGGGAGATTTCTACGGGAAATGGTGGCAAAGAAAGGTGGTGGCAGTGAAAGACTGAGAATAATCAGTTGGGGGATTGAATTGTTTCTAGGAAAAGAATTTTAGAGAATGTGACTTGAGTGCTAACACCCTTTCCTACTTACAGTTTTCCTTTATATGGTGCTGAGAAATTGCAGTAGAACTATTTTTACTAAAGCATTTCTTCCTCTGATCACTCCCAAATAGTTAAAATTGTTGTTCTATTTGGTCTTGGAGGTCACTCTCTGAAGCATCTAGCTCTGCCCACTTGATTCTCCTTCCTAATCTTAAAAAAGTATGCTGTCGTTTGGAATTCCTTGTCATGGCTTCACGTTTAAAAACTTTAAGGTATTGGGGCGCCTGGGTGGCTCACACATGCCTTTGGCTCATGTCATGATCTTTGGGTCCTGGGATCGAGCCCCACATCAGGCTCTGGGCAGGGGTGGGGGTGGGGGGTGGTGGTCGTGGTGGTCTCCCCCCCCAATCAGGGGTAGGGGGTGGTCTACCCCCCTCAAATAAAATAAAATAATGCATTGGGGGAGCATTTAAGGTATTGTGGAATATATTCATTGATTACTACAAAGCAGTGGTTTGTGTGTGTGTGTGTGTGTGTGTGTGTATGTGTTTCAGCAGTAGATAATTTCACTAGATAAAGAAAACTTATATTGTAATAGACCCTGGTTACCATTTTACTTTTATGAAAAGCAGAATATGTTACAGTATATTGTAACTATTACCTGTGCTCTGAAGATCTGCTTTGGAGTCTTTACTAGATTTGTTGTTTATTTATAGAATTATTTTGGGAAAGATGGTTTGCTACTTTGTTTTGACATCAAATACATATGGTTATGTTGGGCGAATAGCTACGTGAGTGTAGCATTTTGTATCTAATATAGAGACTTAAGTATATTCAACATTGAAACCTCCCTTATTTAAGTACTTTGAAACAGTATCACAAAACTCAAGATTCTCCACCCCTGGAACAACAGCAAAACAAAACTACAGTAGCAAACAGAAGTCATTTATTTCAGATATGTCCATGATTTCATTTTCTTCTCATTGCAATTTTGTTTTCTAGCTGGTCTAGTTCAGATGGTAAGGATGATCCAATTGAAGTATCTAAAGACAGTATATTTGTGAAAATCTTACAGAAACTTTTAAAAGATGGTAAGTGGTTTGTTAATATTGGAAGTTATAGCATCAGTCCTCAATTTTAGAAATCTGAGAAAAATGGGGATTTGCCAAGGTGTCAATGCCAGGGCGATTTAAGATTAAACAGTATCATACTCAGAATTAGATTTGTTTAAAATGAAGGAAGGGTTTTTTTCTTTCCTCTCCCAGTTGGGGGAGCATGTGTCAAAGTGAAGTCTCCATCCACATGGGTCCTGGTGGACTCCAGTGGGCAAAGTCTCCATGCTGATTCAGGATGGACAAGGAATGGATTCAGATGTTGGTTGTGACACCAAAAATCTGTATGATAGAAGTAGCCATTTCCTTTAATTTTTCAGTTAACTCTTGTGAAGATTGAAAACTTGAAATAATATATAAATGAGAAATAACTTTTTGATATATAACTGACCATACTAAAGTGCAAATTACAGAATGCTTTTTTACACATTCATTTTGGACATTAACACTCTGAAATTCATTTTAGGAACAAAATAAAAAAGGAACAAGAAGGGTATGTTTTGCACCTAAAACAGCAAAATTCCATTTGCTGATTGAGACACAAATTAGGTAAAGAAGCTTTTATGGATAAAATGCTATTCTCGGGGGAATCTGAAGTAGAGGATACAGTTGACCCTTGAACAATGTGTGGATGAGGGGCACTGACCCCCAGCATGGTTGAAAATCCACATATAACTGTTAACTCCCTCAAAACTTCACTACCATTAGCCTGCTATTGACCAGAAACCTTACCAATAACATAGTCAACACATACTTTGCATGTGTATTATATATTATATTCTTATAAGATAAATTAGAGAAGAGAAATTGTTAATTGAGAAAATACATTTACAGTACTGTACTGTATCAAAAAAATTTGCAAGTATATGGACCCATGCAGTTCAAACCCGTGTTCAAGGATCAACTGTATTTACTTTCAGCTTTTTTCATATTACTGGGAGCTTAATATATGGAGAGTGTTAAGACTAGAGATGAGCAGTTTTGCACATTTTGTACATGTGTGGCTCATATTTATTACAGAATGTTCTGTCAAAATGTGTCATACTAAATTTAGGCAATGCGCAAAATAGACTTAGTGTTTACCAGTAATCTTTGCAGATATAAGGATACTCTGTGTTATACCAAATGGAAAAAATACACATTGATAAGTTATTGTAAATTCAGCCCCTCTAAATGGATAGGACTTTTATCCATCATTCTAACATTTACACGCATTTGGAAGTTTTCTATACATATATATGCAAGATACATTATTTAATCTACATAAAACATGACGAACCCCGTCCCTGGTATGTAGTAGTCACTCAATAGACATTTGTCCTTTGAGTACCTACATGTATTTTGCAGATTCGTAACCCAGACTCCTCTGTAATGGATTGTGTTCTGCAGTCTTCTATTTCAGAATTGCTTGCTTAACCAGGGGACGTGAAGGGGGACCCTTAGAAAAGTAGTGTGAAACTAACCACACCAACCAGTATTCTGAGGTGAAACAGAAGCAAACTCTCAGTGTTTGCGTGTCAGAAGCTTTTGTTTTACAGCCCATCTGATGGTCTCTTAGCATTACTTTTCAGACTTGTAGTCTCCTTTTGTAAGTGATCCAATGAAAATGTAATTCTGTGAATAGATTACTTGGAACTTGCTCATAATTGATCTGGACTTTTATTTTGAAAAAGGGATACTTGATCATCCTACCATGAGAGATTTAATAAAGTGCATTCTTTTTCAAAGATGAGTAAATAACACAAAGGTTAATTAAGCCTTTTCATTGTCACAAAAATAAAAATTAAAAATGAAATAATGAAGGGATATAGCAAAATAATCTTTTGTTTGAAAGTATTTGAAATACTTGAAATTCATAAAGAGCTAAAATGCACCTGTAAGACTTTCTCTTTTTTGTATTTAGAAATGAAAAAATAACTGGATATGATTGATTTCTCTGTACTGCTGGAGAGATTTTCCAGTTGAGCCTCATAGATTATTAGAAAGCATTTGGACCCAAATCCAGTGTTTTCCATGAAGTTTGTTTCTTAAAAGTGCCACAGAATTGAATTGTGGCTAATTAAGTGGTTAGTGCTATTTAAAGGTGACTTTGCTGTTTTTGTTATTCTCAGATAATAAATCATAGATGAACAATAGGAATGGAAAGTTGTGACTGTGCAGAAAGAATTGTTAAATTGTGACCAAAGGACAAAAACAAGTAGAAACTACTATAGAAATAAATAAACATATATATACAAATGAAAGGTGTATATAGACTTATAACAAGAAGTTATAGACATTTATTTTTGGAAGCTTTTTAATAATATAGCTACTATATACAATAGCAGATGTTTTTAAAAGGACAGATCCTGACGGTAGAGAGATATAGATAGCCTCATATTTCATAAGCTCTGGCAGCCAACAATTACTTCAGTTTGTGGAAAGAATTGATTCTATAATACATTTAACTTACCCACATGGAGCTTTTCAGTTTGCTTTTAATATTATTGAGGTACATTATACACAAAATACATATATCGATACATGGACTTTAAGTTTTTTTCTAATTAGCCACCAGCATTTAATAGTTGAGAAGTGTCTTACAAAAGTCTTAACTTTCTTGGGGTGCCTGGGTGGCTCAGATGGCTAAATGTCTGCCTTTGCTCAGGTCATGATTCTAGGGTCCTGGGATTGAGCCTCATATCAGGCTCCTGGCTCAGCAGGGAGTCTGCTTCTCCCTCTCCCTCTGCCTCTCCCCCTGCTCATTCTCTCTCTCTCTCTCTCTCTCTCTCTCTCTCTATCTCTCTCTCTATCTCTGTGTCTCAAATGAATAAACAAAATCTTAAAAAAAATCTTACTTTCTTAATTCTAAGAATCAAAATATTGGCCTAAACTGGACTGAAATATTGTCCTGGCAACAGTCAACAATCTGATGAGCGCTGCCCCATTTGGGTGAGGCGTTGGCTCTTAAGTTTACCAAGATCCCCGAGGCCGCCTTCCTTATACCACCGGGCAGAGTTTCAACGCCTGCTGTGAAGAAAAGAAGTCATCAAATATTAGTTCTAAACAGAGGGCATGCATGATAAAAATAGAAGCCAAACAAGATGTTAAAAATTTTTTAAAGATTTTATTTTTTTATTTGACAGAGACACAGCGAGAGAGGGAACACAAGCAGGGGGAGTGGGAGAGGGAGAAGCAGGCTCCCTGCTAAGCAGGGAGCCCGATGCGGGGCTCGGCTCAATCCCAGGACCCTGGGATCATGACCTGAGCCGAACGCAGACGCTTAACGACTGAGCCACCCAGGCACCCCAAGATGTTTAATTTTTTTAGAGAATTGATCTTTTAGAAATTACTGTATTTTCAGAAGTGTAATGCTGTGTTACAGACAAAAAGTATTTGAAGTATTTTAATTATAATGATCTATAAATAGTTCAGATTTCACCTCATAACATTTATTAACCCAGATTTTTATTATATAACAGTTAAGTACAAAAAGTGATGCTAGGCACTTTGAGGGTATTGAAAAAAAAAACTCAGTATTTGATTTTGGGAACCTTATGGTAATGTGACATTATAAAACAGTCTTATTAATTGAAAATTTTTTTCCAGTTTTATCAAGTGAGAAAACATATACCTTTTTGTAACTACACAGATCCTAATTCAACAGTTTCATTTCATCAGTGCTCATTGACTTTCCACCTTTATAGAAGTCTAATGAAGAAATGATTCTTCACCTGTCTCATTTCACACTGTAATATATTTTGAGACACTGGAGCTAGTTTTCATGATCCTATTCTACTAAATTATTTCCCTATATATAATTGGCTATATATTTAATATATAATTGTTGAAATACTTGAATATATAATTGTTGGAATATATAATTGTTTGAAATACTTGTTTTCAGGTGATTATTAGTTAAAAACTTCCACATTGAAGAAATGACTTAAGCTGTGGAGAAAAATGAAAGTATTTCGGGTCTTATTAAAGACTTTAATCAGATTGGCTATTTTGACCACTAGGGGGAAAAACACTCAAGCAACCTCTTCTAAGTAAAGAATGTCCTGTCGTTAGACCTGCAAGTATGTTTGACAGTGGAAGGAATTTAGAACAGAGTATTTCCCAATAGTGGAGTGACAATATATTTTAAATAGAAGCACAGATGTTATCATTAATCATCTTCATTCATTTGGGAGTCTTATGAAAATAAAAAAGGACTTTCTGTGTTTGTGTTTATAGGCATTCAGCTCAGTGAATACCTGCCAGAGGTGAAAGACCTCCTGCAAGCCGACCAGCTTGGAAGCTTAAAGTCTAATCCTTACTTTGAGTTTGTTTTGAAAGCAAACTATGAATATTATGTTCTGGGACAAATGTAACTTTTTCTAAAAATGGTCACTGTCCCTGAAAATTTGTGTAAGCATGTCCTTATAAAAATCTTAGGCCTTAAACATCTAAAAATTTGTAGTTTTATAACATGTATTGCTGAATTTTGTATACTTTATTTGAAAGCGGCTACAAAACAGCTGTGTGACTGAATGTAGTTTTGTTTTTTTGCTACAAGATATTTTCTCTCCTTTTTCCATCTGAAATGTATCACTTGTTATTTCCATGCTTGCTACCCTTTCTTCCTCTTCTCATTCTGTCAGGGGTTCTGGAGTTCTTAACTCTGGTTCTGGCTACTTGTATGCACAAAGCACTTCTCGGCCTCAGTTTCTGTGACTTTAAACATGACAAGATTGCACTGATTGTCTCTGAAATGGCTGTGACTCTGCACTGAAGAGAATCTGGAGTATTTGGTGTCTTTTGGTTAGAGCTAGTGGGAAATATGTAGTAAGATAGATGTCAGGTTTGCTGACTTGCTATAGGACTAAAAGACTAAACAAGGCATAATTCATGTGAGCTTAAGAACTGATTAATTCATTGGGAAAATATTAAACATTTCTGTGTAAATAATAGAGTATTAATGAGAGGAGTGAATAAGACCTGTGTTTTCTAACCTATCTGTAAGTTACCTATGGTAAATAAGTTTATAGTATTAATGTGAGTTACAATCTTCAGTATGGGGGTTCAATTAGCTTCATGTGTTTTCAAGGTGATTTACACCGAATTCCAGCTTTACCACAGTCTAACTAATGTAAAGCATGTGTTATGCTAGAAGCCATTATAGGTTTTCTTAATATGGCATCCAATTTACTGAAAAGTAGTGGTTCTCAAAGCTTCGTTGTTCTGAGCAATGTCCTCACTCAGTTTTTATCAGCTTTAAATAAAGACTAAAGATTGGACAGGGAGTTGCTGCATATTCAGATTTTGGCCCAGTTGAATGCTCACTAAACAACTTGCTCCAGCAGCTGAAAAGGTCAGAAGTTAAATATGGTGAAGAGAGTCCGGTTCCGGGTTTCACAAAGGACAGCCGTCTGTGCCCTCTTCCCCTCTAGGCTTCAAATCCAGCCTTGAATACGTTGGCAAGAAGAGGTTAATGGAGCTCGTTACATTAATAACCGAAGGAAAGACACTAGCAGCCTTGTCTTTTTCTTTTTGCAGCTTGTATGTGGGGACAGCATCAGGTTCCAAGTTAGAAATCTACTGAAGGGTGCTAAGGGAAGTTGAACTTGTCAGATGGCGGATAAGAAATTGCAGAATTTTTATCTTATAGGACATAGACATTAACAGTTCTTGCCTGTATGATCCTTTTCAGTAATGTGCTCTGGACGTAGGATTGTGCCCCCTTCAGCATGCTGCCACAAATCTGATAGCCCTAGTGTGACAGGAAAGCCAGGCCGAGAGTGACCCTGGCCTTATTGATGGCATGATTTTGCTTTACTGCTGTCACAGTGTAATGCGTAGTCATCTTATTTTGAGGGAGGGGAAGGCTCGCTCTTCTAGCTCTATCTCATCGTCAGTAGCCTAGCACCGAAATGGTTGCATTTTTAAAAATTAGTAATAGTAAAATTAAGACCTAAGATTTTGAATAATTTTTCTAAATTTTAAAAATTTCACAACATAGTCTATCAAAGAATTGATTTTTAAATAAATTGAGTAATTGATAAAGACACATTATAAAGGTGAGCATGTTTTCTAAGGAAAGAAATTTTACTGACTTGGGAAAGGTTCCCCCCTGCCCCCCATCTTTGCTTTTCTCAAAGTCACAGCTTGCAGCCTTGATTAAATGAAACAATAATGTGTTTTTGAAAGTGAGCAGCCAGCTTTGCGTGCTGATATGTTTTAAGAATTTGTGAATATGGGGTGCCTGGGTGGCTCAGTCGGTTAAGCGTCTGCCTTCGGCTCAGGTCATGATCTCAGGGTCCTGGGATCGAGCCCCACATCGGGCTCTCTGTTCAGCAGGGAGCCTGCTGCTCCCCCTGCTTGTGCTCTCTCTCTCTCTACCTCTCAAGTAAATTAAAAAAAAAAAAATCGTGACTGTGTCAAGGATGAAGGCAGAACTGGATACACATAAGGGACTTGCTGAAACCCCAGTGAAGTAAAAGGCTACTGATCCCCTCTGTTGTAGGGATTTCGTTTTTGAAGAAAACTTCAAAAGTGAATTGTTTCTTTTACTTTGGGGTCTGAATCAGAGTCCTGAAGTATATCGCCCACCAGGCACATGAGGCCTGCGGGTAGATTGTCCAGCATGTTTCCCCTTTGAGGCCAGTTGCTTTCTCTAGAACAGGAATGGAAGGAAAGCCACACCATAATGTCGTCAGACTCACTTAATCTATTGTAATCCAGCGTACTTGTACATGTTGAAGCTGATAACTACAGAAATATTAATGTAGTTCTACCTGCTTATTCCTGGACCTTTAATTTGGAGAATGCCTGAAGAGAAAAGAGTTTTACGTATTTCTATGTAAAATCCACTCATTAGGTACCAAAATATAATTTAAAAAATAATTTTGTGTAATTCTAAAAATTTAAAGATTTTTATTTGAGAGCGAGTATGAGTGGGGGTAGGGCAGAGGGAGAAGCAGACTCCCCACTGAGCAGGAAGCCCCCCACACAGGGCTCAGTCCCAGCACCCTGGGATCATGAGCCGAAGGCAGACGCTTAACCAACTAAGCCACCCAGGTGCCCTAATTAATTCTTAAGTTAAAAAAAAAAACTAGAAAATGTGAAACCTATTTTTTTAAAAAGTAGAAGGAAGAAGATAAAGCCCTGTAATTCCACCAGCTAGACATAGCTTCAGGTACCAGTTTGAAGTGTATCTTAGGGACGCCTGACTGGCTCAGTCGGAAGAGCATGCAACTCTTGATCTCAAGAGTCATGAGTTCGAGCCCCATGTTGGGTGTAGAGATTAAACTTTTAAAAAGTGAAACGCATCTTGGACAGTTTGGGACTGTGCATACCGTGTATTCTGTAGCCCAGTGTGTATTGTGAGCATCTCCACGTATCCTTCATCCAGTGTTTCCCAGTCTTTTTCCCATTGTCATTCCTGAGGACTCTTTTTAGGTAGTTTTGTCCTAATCACTCCACCCCCATCCCCCCCAGCAAAGTTTAATTCTGCAGATATACTGTGTATTTTTTTTATGTGCTGTGCTTCTGGAGGCCACAAATCATTGTAATACCTAATTTAAGATTCTTTTCACACCCCGAAGAAACAATCCCCCCCCTTCAAAAATGCATGCCTTCACAGTTGTTGAAGATACAGTTTTTTAATGACTGCATGATACTTCACCACATGGCTGTGCCATGCTTTATTTAATGGTTCTCTGCCTCCTTAACGATCTGAACACTTGACTTAATGGTGTTGGCTTGGGTTGGGTTTTTGTTTTTTGTTTTTTTTTGCCTTTTTAGATACTACTAGAGTAAATCTTTGTACAAAAGTCTGTGTGTACTCCAAATTCCTGTAAAATTACATGACTCTTCCTGTTCAGTTTGTGGTGAAGCTGACATGTTTAGCAAACAGTTCTAATAATTTTGAATGTCTTTTGCTCCCCTCTTCTACCACCTCACCCCCCTCACCTCCTCCAAACACTCAGAAGAAAGATACTGTGCTATTGAGTGTTTCTGTCCCAGGCACTTACCTAGTTTTTAATCTTCAAGTCAATGTTAAGCAGTAGGTAGTATCCTCAGTTGAGAATATGGAGTCTTTCTTGAAGTGAGCTGCCCAAGGTCACACAGCCAGTCAGAAGGGGAAGAGGGTACACCCAGAAATACCTTACTGCAAAGTGCAAGCTTTTAACCCACTTACTATGCTGGATACTAGGAGGTGGAGGGTGGGGGCAGAGAGCTGATGGCTCCAGTGGAATCATTAGGCCGGTAGAGATGGCCAAGGCAGAAGCCATGACTTCATTGCAGGATGTCTTTGGCCCCTCGTTGGAAAAGATCTCTTGAGGATCTCTTATGTTTTCAGAACCAAACCAAGTGTTGGGAAGGATTAAAGGAAGGTAGAAAGCAGTCCCTGCCCTGCCCTGACTACTCCTAGTGGGAGAGAGGCACCCAAGCCCCAGCTTTGGGACCTGGGAGTGTGGTCTAGCTCATTGAGCCTCGCTTTTCTGATTCTTAAAACTGAATAACTAGTACCTGTCTTATTTACCTCAGATAGTTAAACGCCTGTATGCTTTTAACAATACGAAAGCATATGAAGTTTTATGAATACATATTTAATATTTTTTTGAGAGAACGAGCAGGGGGGGAGCAGACTCCCCATTGAGCAGAGAGCCTGATTTGGGCTCAATCCCAGGACCCCGAGACCCATGACCTGAGCCAAAGGCACACAACGGACTGAGCCACCCAGACACCCCTGAATTCATATTTGAATCAATAGGAAATGATAGGAGGTTTAGACCCAGCGATAGTGGGGTCTGCAGATGCGTGAGGAGCTCAGGGTATGGGGCTGCAGAGGAGGGAGCTGTGAGGCCACAGCTGAGGAGCTGCACAAGGGCCTTGTCAGAGTTTCAAGAGCAGGGCTGCACCTGAAAACTTAGAAGCAAGCACTCTCAGGCATACCGTACATGGCTGAGCTTTGCTTAGTGATAGTTCTCAAAAGGGTATGCAGGTAGGCACCCGCTTATCAGGGGAGAGCAGAGCACTGGTGTGTTCCCCAAAAGTGTACATGTATGGAGACAGTTTTTCCACTCACCCGTTAGGTCTATCCCCTAGGCCAATGAGAATTCAACAATACCAGAATGGGACTGGGTGGCCCCATAGTGACCTGTCAGAGACTATTTAAACAGCCCCAACCGTGCGCAGAAAGATGTCCGGCGCGGTGTTCTCCCAAGGTTTGCTGTACTAGCAGTCTCCTCCCTCCTGAGTGTTTGCTTCATAGCTTTGTGTGTTTGAAGCTCATAGACTCTGGGCTTAGAGAAGCTTGCAATAGAAGAGAAGAACGGCACTGAGCAAGAGTTTGGGGAAATATTGACAACCCTGTTCCCCTTTAAAATATATTCTTAGGTATTCTTCCTACTTTCGGGGCAAAATTTAAGCTTTTCCATTTATATTGGACCTATAATGCATTTGCCAGTTTATTTTTTTCTAGTCTCTTC